ACAGCTCCAGTTTCAGTCACCCGAAACTCACAGGTGCTAAAAGGAGACATTGATTACTTTAAAATCATTGGGTTTCTGTGCAAAATTGGTACCTCTGTATAGATGCTTATCTATCTATGCATCTATCTGAAATAGCTGAGACCTGGGAAGCTGGCATTTTGACGTAGCTGGGTTTCTCAAGCTTAGTTACGTTATGGCAGGTATGAATTGCTCGTAATAGAGATGAAAAAGTGGCCAGAAACAAACCAGAAGGAATACATAAAAGATATCTAACTGGCTAGCTTTAAGGTTATGTTTAATTTTCTTTTCATTTTAAATCCTAACATCCCGAGGAAGGAGCTTGTAGTAAGCCACATCTGATCCTGTTCTTGCTGCCAAGTGCCCTACTCAAAGGCAGGCCCAGGTCTGGGTCTAGCCCAAAACTATTAGTAAAATCATGCCTTCATACGGCCTCCGTGAAAAAACAAGCACTATTGGAGGGGCTGTTGAGATCTGGATCCATTGCACCAAGCATGGTGGGGTGCAGCAATCAGGCTTGGTGGTGGCCGAAATGATGTCAAGAGCAAAAAACCCTGCTGAGTTTGATGGACGCTCAGTTCCACCAATGCTAAATGCTTATGACAGACTTCTCCCTCCAAAACTGTGAGATTCAACGTTAAAAGCTTCCAAGGAATTGCCCCTGCCAATACAAATTTCCAAGAGCCATGTGAGCTGTTGGGAAAGCAACACGGCTTTAACTGGCAGGGTCTGGGTCTGCTCCGTAATTTCGGCTCTGTGTCTAACTGAGTATCCGACGCGTTCACCCAGGCAGTGTCTGAAAGGCAGCAGCTAGCAGCCTTTTGGATATAATACATTTCTGTGGCTCAATTAAAAAGTTTTTCAGAATAAACAATAAGTTTGAGTGATTTCTTCATCTTACCGTCTTAAATGTTTGCTGTTAAAATCATTTATTTCGCGAGGGTGTTTGAGGAGCCCTTCTGGTGTTGCCTCTGTTTAATAGCTTGCTAACTCCTACAGTACTGCCTACTCTAATTGCTCCAATGTAATTAAGAGGGGGAAAAAACAAGGTAGCACTGAAGGGCTACTGAGAGTGGATAGTCAAAGAGCTGTAGGGAGATAAATGGGGATCATATTGGTGGGGTAATTTGCTCATTAGCACCCTCCCTCCCCATATTAGCCTAAATGGAAGCAGAATGAGAGAGGAGAGAGAGAAACACTGAGAGAGATAGCGGAGACATACTTAGAAAGACAAACTGATGTGCCATAGTTTCAAAGACCAAAAAAAAGGTTACGATAAAAAGAAAAAAGGCAGAAGATTCAAAATTCAGTCTGCTTGGAAAGCAGAGAGAGCACCAGAAAAGTCCAGGAGAACAACACTAACGCCACAGAAAACCAGCACCCGCTTCAGCCACGGCACAAAAAGCTGGTGGTTTGGCAGGAGTTTCTAGGGGGGTTGGTCTACCTTATAGGCAATGCGAGCAGGGCATTTCTTTCCAAGGCCTAGCGGTGGGGACATGTGCCTCAGCATCTCATACATGTCTGTGTAACTGATGCGCCCGCTTGGAGTCAAAGGGAGGGAGGTAAAAGCAAGAGGACACGGGGATCAAACCAGACCGGGTGGGGGGAGGAAAAAAAAGGGAGGGGATGGGGAATAGGGCAACACAAGGGAGCAAATGAAAAGGAGGAGAGAGAAGGGAAAGCAGACAAGAAAACAGAGATCCGGTTAATCAGATTTCTCAGGATAACAAAACCAAAATAAAGAGGTGGGTAAATGGAAAGGTTTCTCCGCTTCCGTTGCCGTGTTCCGACGCCCAGCGTCTCCTCCGCACTGCAGGGATGTCCCGTGGCCTCGGCACGCGGGTCCCTGTGGGGAATGATTGATGTCTCTGCTCGGGGTGGAGAGGGTGTGGGGAGGGCTCGGGCTTGGCTGGCTCTTTGTGAGGGTGGAGGGATGCAACCCCTTCTCACCCGCTCAAACCCGTCAAGCAAGAGGCTTTATTCACCATGCCAGGGAGAGCTGGTAGGCAGAGTTATGGGACAGGGAGAAATGGGGCTTAGAGAAAACATTCAGCGTTCCCTCAGTGAATAAAGTTTGGTTTTCAGGTCAGCCTGTGGGCTACGAGAGAAGCAAAGCGCCAGTCCTGTTGTGCTTGCGCAGGGGACGGACTGTGACTGCTCTGACCCCAAGCCAAGGGTGCAAATCTGGAAAACCTCAGCCAGCCTGAATTTCTCCTCCAGCCTGAGTTCAGGTGTGGCAAAACCAGAGCCCAGCACTTGATTTGCAGAAAGGTGGTGGAAAGGGCCCCCTCTTTCATCAAGTCAATGACAACTGGTGTCAGCTAGCTGTCCCCCATGTTAGAAGGAACAGAGAATTGCAGAGATTTGGGAAAAGGCCCTTAGACCAGCCCATTACTGATGAGAGCCACCTTCAGCACATGTTGGTGGTAAATAAAATCCTGCCCTGAAAAGCAAGGGATGCAGAAACAGTAAGGAATTCTCCTGCTTTGCCTTTTTCTGACTACTAAAACTGGGAGTATGTCTATGACAATCTCATCTTGTTATCCCAGAGAGCTGCTTGCTTATTATATTGTGCAAATCTGTGCTGCCTATCATCTGAGAAGTATATTGCAGCATGTTATTAATTAATGTTTAACCCCTGGAAAAGCAGGACAGTATTATTATCTCCACTATATTAAGAGGGAAACCTAGACCTAAGCATCCATATGAAACCCCTCTCTCAAGCAGGACAGCTAAGCAGCAGGCACCCGCACACCAGCCCACTGCCCTGACCTGGGTCTCAATGCCTGTGTAAAGCACCGATGCAGGAGCGGGTGGAAGAGAGAACGTACCAAGCCAAAAACATCTATTCCTGTCCTTGGTAACTAACACAGTTAAAGTACCACCCAGATTTTCTAGCCCAGAGCTAATTTAAAGGCTGCTGAGAGACACAAATTGTAATTACAGCCAATAGCTTCCCCCTGGGTTCGCTCTTCTGCCCCTGCTCCCTGGCTGGAGGTGCAGGGTCTCATGCCTTCTCTGCAATGCTCATTAACTCTTAATCCCCAATCAGGTATAGAAAACATCTGGGCTGGAGTGAAAGAGGAAAGCAAGCTCCATGCTGGCTGCTTCTGCTTCTCTCCTTTATCTTCTGCTCTCCATGCACTGACTGCAAGAAAACCCCTGCCTGTAACTGGGAACCCACTGAAGCTCAGCGTCCTTCTGTGCTGATTTCTTGGCCAGCTCTGTCCCTAACTCCCCACCTCAGCTCCCAAGCACAGTATATTTTGCCTGTGCCATGAGGCAGGAGGTTTCACTGGAGGTTTCACCATAGCTCATGATCTCAGAGAGGTAATTTTACTCCCAAAGCAATCTCTAACTGTTGCTGTTATACTGTGAAGAGCTTATCCCTTCGTCTCTCCCCAGCCTAGACAACCATCCCACCACTGCCCAGTTAACCAGTGCCCAGGTCAAATGTCTTTTCAGCTCAGGAAAGGGAAGGGTTCAAACACTGGTCATTCAACCGGAGTGACAACGCTAGAAAGCCCAAACAAAATGGACTTGCTACTCCCCAGAAATCTTGGGATGACATTTCTCTCCGGTGTGTATAAATAGAGAGAAAGTGCTGGGATGCTGTGCTGCTTTTCCCCAGCACTTCCCACCTAGACCCAGCAGGATGGAAGCTGGAGGGTTCACTGTCTCATAAAGCTGCCTGTCTCCAGCCAGCTGGGGTGTGGGAGTAGATGGGGAAGCAATGCGTCGAGGAAAAAGGAGGCAGTCAGTCAATCATTCATTTTTTCAGGCAGGGGGTTTGTTACGTTAAAGTTTCTTTTCTGTACTGTTTGCATTTGCACTTAGAGGGGGGGTTAAAAAGAAATAAAACCAGAACTGAAAATGCTGGAGGGAGTCTCTGAAGTTCCAAACCTTGTATGCCACCCTATGAGGGCACTTCTTTCCTAAGCCCAGAGGTGGAGCAATTACACGTAACAAATTGTACATATCCTTATAATGAATCCGGCAACTGGAAAGAAAACATAGGATGTTATGACAGCAAAAACCGAGAGGAATCAGTTTTTCCCCAGGCAAACAGGAGAAGCTGGAAGGGCGAAACACGCTGAAAAGCAAGGTTAGTCTGACAGCAAGTGGGTTTGCAACGGAGGCACTTTAACAGAGAGAGAGAGAGAGAGAGAGGACTTCCGACTTCTCAACAAAATCCATATCCTTGGATTTTCTTCTGTGAAACCTTCAGTGCCATGCACAAGGCTTTCCAACCACTGCCTTTGGTTACCTTCATCACTAATATTTTACTTCCCTGTGCCTGAGCATCTGCCTACAGATGGACCCAACCCACTGCCCAGGTGCTGCAGCAGCCCAACAAAACCAGAGCCTGCAGAACACAAGCTGCCTATTTAACGGATTATTACTAAGATTCAAATTAGCTGGTTCAAAAGAGCTTAGGAACCTTCAACCTTCCACTGTTACCACCTATGTAACCCCAGCAGGGCTGTACTCTGCTTCATGGGCAATAAGCAATTTGCTAGAAGTCCAGAAAACGCTGTCTCAAGAGCTGTCTTGGCCGTCGGCACTGGGAAAAACCAGCCTTCATTACCAGTAGGCGAAATCAGATGCCTCAAGGCAGCTTTATGGCCAGTCTCATTAACTCCCAACAATATTTTCAGCTAATTTAACAGCAGGATTAGATTTCTTAATCTTTTGTAAGTAACCAAATCATGTACAAAAAGAGCTATACTGAACTTCTAAATGACCTCCAAAGAAAAATGAGATGATTTGGCTTCACTATGTTTATTTTGGTACGTTATACTAAGAAGGCTGGAATATTTTGGAATATCTCCTTCAATATTACTGCTTTTCTGGATGTGAAAAATTAAAGTCTATTCAAAACTTTCAAAATCAAATCAAAACTATTAATTCAGAAACAGATGAAATGGAACTGTGCAAGTCTTGGCTGCAGGTCTAATTGTGCCTATAAAAAGTATATTGGTTTAACTGAGTCACGAAGTTTACTGAAATTTTAGAACAGTTTTGTAAAATCAGTGTGTAGAAAATACATGTGTGCAGTTCCCTGAGCTCTCTATGAGTCTATGGAAGCCTTGAACACCAGCAGATGTAATGCATTGGAAGGTCGTGGCAGGAAACTGTGACAAATTTTAGGAAACAGGGATTCTATTCCAAGTTGTTTAAGTCTGTTTGAGCTTTGTTTATCTTCATCAGCATCCGTTTATCTTCATCAGCATCCGTTTCTTTGCTATCCGAGGATAGCAAAGAAAACGCCTCTCCCGACGGCTGAAGGTGCTGCCTGCAGCATCTCCCCTGGCTCTTGGGAGCAACAAATGGGAATGGGATGGCAAGACCAGCATTTCCAGTATCTCTAAGGGGTATGCACTGGGAATGGGGATATCAGAGAGATAAAACACTCACTTTATATATCTTGAACAAATAAAAGCTCATAGAAATCTAATTTTCTTTTCTCTCCCAGTCCATCCTTAAATTCAATGTTTTCACTCCTTTCCTGATGAACTCCCAGCCTTGGACCAAACTGCTGTCTGTGCCCCATCTCTCTCGCTCTCTCTTTTTCTGTGAGCTCGAGGTTTCTGCCACCCGTAAATCCAACAGTTTCCCCATACTTACCCCTACGGAGTGTGACACACATTGAGAACAGCAGCTGCTAGCTGCTTTTTTTACTTCCTTTCGAATGTTCTTCCCCAGAAAAGTTTACAGAAAGTTGGATTTTGTAACAAAAACAAAGGTGATATTGGAAATAGGTATGTGAATACACACACTTTAAGCCTGTGTTTAAAATATTATCTATATAACAAAAGCATTATGACATTCGTACTTTTTACCCATGCAGCATCTTTCATCGAGGGTCTCAAGCTACAGAAAGTGGGCAAGCATTGCAATTCCCCTTTCCTTGGGACAATCAAAGAAGAGACCTTGAGAGAGGCAATCAGTCAGTGACAGACTGAAGTATGAACCAGCTCATGGGCATCTAAGCATAAGATAACATTGCCTGGGAATCTTATTCCTTGCTAATCATGCCATGGTGATTATTTACCATTCCCCTACATGTCTATCCTGAGGGCTGAAATGCTAAAAGGAGATGGCTGACATGGAAAACAAAAATTGGATCACTATTTTCATTCAATGAGTATTAAACTAGTGGAACAAGCAACTGAGTAAAAACTGGATCCTCTAAAGCCCTGTGTCTTCAGATCAAAACAGGGTGTACTGCTGGAAGCCATACCTTAAAAGACAAGTTATTAAGCTCAGTGCATGGATAGCTATCGTGAAATACCATGTCCAGAGCTTCACAGAAGTTCAGCCCAAATGATTAAAAGATCTGTTCTGGCCTTAAACAGCCAATGGATTTCAGATTACATTTAAATTGAGGAAATGCTAGTCCCACTTCTAAAACCAGAAGTGATTTAAGTGGAACTATTCACACATGGAAAATCCAGAACATGCACAGGTTTTAGGATCAAGCTTTGAGCATCATGTCTTGGCTGTCCTTTGATTCCCAGTTCTGCCCCCAGCCGCTCTGCCAACATCAATAGCTTCACACCAGAGCAAAACGGAAACAAGGTTAGAGAAAAACACAATTAGGATCTTAATACATGACATATTCTGTATTAACAGCTCTAGAAGTGAAAAGGTTTGGTCCCCGAGTGACTCATAAAATGTGACCTCTGCGCTCAGAGTTAATAAAGTGAGCAAATCTTTCTATAAACCTAATGCTTGTGCCTCTTATCGGTGGAAAGTTCCTGAGCACGTAAACATTAAAAAAGCACATCGATACTAATTTTTTCCCCTTGCAGGTGTGTTACTCCTCCCACAGACGCTAATCAAAGCCAAGACTGTTTTTTAAGGAGAGAATAGGCACTCCCAAGACTTCAGTCTCACTGAGATTTTCTAGTGGTAAGAGATAGGACTGGATTTGAAAAAGGGAAAAAAAAAAAAAAGCTATTTACTGCCTGCCAAATACCCACAATGGACTTGTCTGTGTTACAGAGCACGTGGTAATGAAAATCTGCTTGGAGATTACAAGCTGCTAGTATGTGTGCAGTATAGATGCAGGCTCGCAGTATGGATGGCTTCGAGCTAGTTAAAATCACACACAGTTCAGAGAAATGCGGTCATTTTGGAACAGGTTTACATTTAAAGTTAGCCTAAATCAATTTAACTGAGATTTTAAAGCAGTTTAATTGCATCCTAGCAGGCAGTTTGAGATGCTGATTGTACAAACACTTTCTACATCTGTCTCTACTGAAGGGAAACAAAAAAGAGTGGAAAGACTGGAGGAGCTGGAGGGAGCTTCATTACAAATACAGAGGAGATTCATTGTAGAGTAACTCACGGGGAAGAAAATGTAGGGCTTTAAATGAAAAAAAGTCTCCCAACAGGCAAATTCCCAGGCTGCAGACTATTAAAGAAATTACTGGGACCTGTATCTGAGATCATCTAGAAAACAACACAGTCACCAGGACTGCTGTGCAGTAGCCTTCTCTGGGCAACGCAGAAAAGCAATACATTAAAATCAATCTTGCTCTAGAAGTGATTGCTGCTCAGAGCCGCTCCCTCATTTTAAAAAATTCCTTCAAACACATCAGCTCTCGGGCCAGCCACGGCACAGTGCCACCCTCCGCTGCCACAGTTCTCAAACCCAGGAGTGCAGCTGTCCCTGTGAGTGTCTTTGAATAGGGAAAAGAAAGAGATAAAAGCGAACACCTCACCGTCTGCCTGTCAGAAAACCCTTTCCTCCTTTAACACGCTCCTATATCAGGAACACTTTATCAGAGGCTCACTGTGAACTGAAATGCTTCCAGAGTTAGGCTTGTTGCATTTTCTTGTCATTTTGCACACCTGGCATTTCAACCGCAAGTCCAAAAGCTAAAATATTGTTCAGAAGAACAAAATTCCCTTGTACAATTTGATGTCATTAGAAGGAAGCTTCCAACATCAAAACATTGGGTTTGATGAGAAATGCCTGTTTAAAAACCGCCTGTTTTCAGCAAACCTCCTTTACCTGGAGAACCACCGTGTCACTCCCTGCTGCCTCAAAGGTGGGTGACAGCAAACGCTGAAGCCTGAGCCTGCAGCACTCGGCTCAGAGGCCAAGCAGTAGGGTACCTCATCTCCTTTTACGGGAGAGACAGCACCATGAAAACTTCAGTTTTTGTGTTTGTGTGTGGCCTCAGGTCTCTGCACAGGATTTACGAAACCATGAAGGAGGTTCTCAGCTAGGAGAGGAATGCTGCACACACAAGGTACAACAAGGCCTAGCCTCTCAAGTCACTTAGAGTGCTGACAATGGCGAGAGCTTCAGTATATTTTTATCTCCAAACTGGGATGCAGAAACCAAATGCAATCAAAGCCCGTTTTGGAAATGTTAAACAGCTTTTCTACTTGGCTATTTAACCAAGATCATTTGAATTTACCCTACTTAATTTTTGGCCGTGTGTGTGGGGAGAAGGGTGCATTTTGCTTTCTTGATTTGTTGGTTTATGTCTATCTCACGTCAATTTGAAGGAAGTGCCCTTGTAATGACATCAGGTTTGTTCCTCTCCGGTGCTCAGTGAATTGAAGCTGGAGCATTTACCACCAAAGTTACCCCAAGCTTTGGAGTCATTTTCCTTCTGGAGCTGTACTCACATTAAAACAAGCACTTTGTGCGTGTACGTATAGTATTTATACACAGTGTGTATACTTTTCTCCACGTATCACAGTGTACATACCAGGCAGCTGGGTCATATTCAGCCCAGACACGAACAAACTCATCCAAATGGTGGGGCCCAAGGATGGAGGAGTCTCTTGTCAGGTATTCAAAATTGTCCATAATCACAGCCACAAACAGGTTCAACATCTGCAGAGAGGAAGCAATAATGCAGTTAGAGGGGAAAGATAAAAAGAAAAAAAAGAAAAAATTAAAAAAGAAAACTGAGAAAAAGGAGAAAAAAAAGAGAAAAAGGAGAAAAAGGAGGAAAAAAAGAGAAAAAAAAAGAGAACAAGAAAAAATCTGGAAGTGGAGCAGGTATGATTCCCTTAGCAGGGTGTGTGGTTTCTACAAGCACCGGCTGTACCCCGGAGAAGCAGCTCTACGCACCAAGCCCTGGGGACCCTGCTGCCACCTCCTCCTCTCCTGGACGCTGCAAGCCACTTCCAGCTCTGCAGTACACGGCAGGTTTGGCTACATCCCCATCGCTGGTGATGCCCCACAGCACGACCCATCCCAGCACCCAAGCGGTTGGACACCTCTCCCTTGCCCCGTCTTCACCCTACACCAGCACAGACCAGCACACAGGCTGCAGTGGCTGATTCACCAGCTGGGTGATGTGAACTATTCCAGCACTTCCATGAAGGCACATCAAGACAAGAACAGCTAGAATAAAAACCACCTTCACCCTGAATGTCCTATTTTAGACTCATAACAATTCAAACCTTCAACGATCCCCAGAAAAACGAGGGGCAGGACACACAAAAGGCTCCTGTCCCTAACGGCCGCTGTCTAACACAGAGCCCAGCAAACGCCTCTGGCATATAAAGATTCTCCTCTTATTAAAGCATATGGAAGAGTCACAAGGATTACAACATGAAAAGATCAAGCTGCAGGCAACAGAATGGAAGAGCAGGAGGGCAGGTGGGAACGGATGCTCCTGTGCTGGCTAAAGACCTGACTGGCACCAGGCCCCTTTCTGCCTTCGTTACGTCTTCTGCAGGGAGGCAGAGCTGCTGCCGTGATGCTGCTCCTCTGCACCACGCTGAGCAAGGGCTGCAGCGAAGCAGCCTGTGAGCTCTCACATGGGGATGAGCAGAATTAACCAAGTACGGATGTCCCCGGCCGGTCTGCCGGTCGTTAAAAGAAAATCAGGCAGAGGAGGCTGGGGTTTGTGCAGTTTCAAAGGCTTCTTATTGCTGTGTGATCTGGAGGGAAGAAGGGGTCTTGGCTCTTTCTGGGACACACAATCCACCAATACAGACAAGAACAGTCCACAACGAATCACCATATCACCACCAAATGCTAATTAGGCACTTCCCAGACCTTTAGTCCATCTATTTTTCAAAACCCATCCCAACAGAAAGCTGGGAGCAGAACTTAGCCACCAACGTATCAATGTCCTACATGAGGGCACCAGCGTGTCTTACCCCACCCAAGGGTCTGCTTCAGGCCAAGCTGCAGAGCTCAGCGCTGAGCACGCACCAGCCCTGCCAGTGCCTCAGCTGCAAACAAAGCTGCTGCCTCTGCAGCAACGAGTGTGAATCCACTCCTGAGCATCAGGGCTTGTCAGCTCGAGCGCAGCACTACGCTGCAGAGCTCTGCTGGGTTGGGGGAACAGAGCCAGCCCTTTGTGCCGCCCCGATTCCCGGATGCTCACGAGGTCCCTGTGCAGGACAGCCTAGACGAGTCCTGGGGACCCGCAGTTCTGCACAGGGATGCCCAACCCAGTTCTCCAGAAGCTGCTCAAAGACTGGAAGCACTATAACCACCTCGGCAGGGCTGACTCCCGTGCTGCGGGTACCCCACCCGTGACACAGCACCCCCGAGCAGCAAGAGACGGCAAAATTTCTGTGAGTGTGCCCCTCAATGCCAAGCTCCTTTGTGCTGCTCCCAGCTCCGGCCATGGTTTGGTACAGCTTTCCCTCGCTTGCATACAGCTGTTCCTAGCGTTCTGGTATATTTTCAAATTTCAATTTATATTTTTCGACAGGGTAAATTACAGGAGGAAAACTGTGTCAGGCTGGACATCCACAAAGAGCAAGAAACAACATTTAAAACAAAAAAGTTATCCAACTGCCCCCCCAGTCTATGGTGTAACAACACTGAACAAACGATAAAACCGTGCCCTCCTGGCAAGGCCGTGGCTCTGTAACACTTTAATCGCTTCTGGGGAGCCACAAGTTTTGTTGCAATGAAGTGCTGCACACAGCTGATGTAAGGAGTCAGAGCCCTGTCCCGTGGCAGTGCGGCTGCTGGGCTTCCCGCTCCCTCTTTCGGAGCCTGCCCTCCCCCGGCTCTGCTCTCCGTGAGGGCTCTCCCCTTGCCCTGCAGCAAGCCCAGGGTGCGGTGTCACGGGGCTTTGCGGGAGCGCCGACTCGGGGACAACGCTCACGCAAAGCTGCGTTTTGCACAGATGTGCTCCAGCCCCCAGTTCCGCTACTGCGCTTCAAGTGGGACGGCTGATATGAGCCAGGAAGGGTGAGTCTGGGGGGCAGTGGGGTGTGTTGTTTGGTTTTTTTTAAAGAAAAATCTTTAGTAACAATAATGCACTTGAAAATAACAATGAGAATGTCTGATGTTGGGTTAGGGATTTGTACAAGAAAAAGATCCGCCTTTAAAATACAGATTGCTGAAGGGGTCAGTAAATGGAGCATTAACTCTGTATGAGCATTCAGGGCTCCACGTTTTTTAACATATGCGGAAGAAATAAACCATGGGATGTCCAAGGGGCAACAGCAGTCGGACAAAGGATCTCGGCAGGGGCCACTGAAGTTGGTCTGTCTACACCCAGCATCAAGCTGCCACGTGTACCTCCTTTTCCTGGCTAAAGGTTTATGACAATAGCAGGGATTAGCCGCACAAAGCATCAAATCTTATATTTTAAAGCAAACCCATAGAACTGAATCTAGGTTTGATACTTTTTGGTACATTTCAGAGCTGCGACTTTCATCTCTTCCTGCTTGAAGTTTAATTGGGTCCCTGCCCCTGGTTTTCCGTCCCTCTGTCTCAGCAGTGCAGGAAAGTGCACCAGGCCCCAAGAGCAGAGAGTTTCTTACGCATGTGAGTGATCAGAAAAACACTGGCACCTATCAAAGCTTAGACCCAGCCCCATATGATGCCCACAGGCGCAAATTAAGTACAACAGCTCTGCATACTTTTATGTCTAAAGCTTTCCTGGCACCCTTGCAGAAGAAAAGGATCATCGCATTTATCTGACAAACCAAACAAAACAAAACACAAGGAATCAAATAAGTGCAATGCTCCCAGCTGGTTGCTGCAAGCACTTCTGAACCAATGTTACCTTGGCCATTCTCACCCTGCCCTCCCCAGTCCCCTCCTTCAAAGGACCGCATTACAAATTAAGACAAAACAGATTAATGCTTAATTCCAAATATTAGACCCCCCTGTGACAAGAAAGATAAAAACCTTCCCTTTAAACTAATGACTAAACGATCTCTTTGGGGATTAAAGGGATTTTATCACCAGGATGATAAATAGGTTTTAGTGAAGCTGTCTTGTAATGTTGTATAAATCATAATCAGGGAGAAGGAGGAAGCAAGGGGGTGGGGAGGGAAAGGCTGGGGGGGGCAAAGTGTGGAATCACACTAACACCTCCACTTTGGGAGAGATCGGGACCGACTTACCAGAAATGAGCACAGGAAGATGAAGGACACGAAGTAGAAATAGGCGAAATCGCTGCCACATTCGTTTTTCGTGAGGCCGGAGAGCGGGTCGCAGGCTCTGTTACTCAGGCACGACAGCATGATCTCGTGCCAGGCTTCCCCCGTGGCACTCCTGCAGACGGCGAGGGCAAAGGGTGAGCTCCTCCAACCCCCTCTCACTACAGAGCCGGGGCGGGCATCCACCTCACAGTATTACTGCTCCCAATTAACTAAATTAATTAGGTGGAAGGTCGTGTCCAGGTGGAGAGACTATATTTACATTATGAATCTAAACTGCCGGCATGAAAAAGAAAGGACAAAGAACATTTCCCTGTATCACAGGGGGTAAAAGCAACCAAGCAGGCTCAGGTCGGCGAAGCTTCATCGGTTTTATGAGAATAAAACCAGATTGATTTAGCCATGTCAGGTGCAAAGAGCAAGTGTAAGTAAACAGAGTTTATATCGTTTCCTTCTAACAGCTGACATTTCTGCCCAAGTGCTGGCTGAAAACCCAACAGAGATGATGGGAAACAAAACCAGGCTTCTCCAATCCAATCTCTTCCTTCCTTTATCGGGTAGATATGGAAGTACCAGGATGGTCTGGTCGGTCGTAGTGACTTATGGCAGGGGAACGGGAACTGGATGATCTTCAAAGTCCCTTCCAACCCAAACCATTCTACGATTCTATGACTTGGGTCCAGTTTTCATGACAATCTCTTGGGTTTTCTTCATTGTTTCCCCCCTTTCCCCCATTCTGGGTGTGAGAACTGAAGTAACGGGTAGGTGTACCCAAAACAAACCCGAACATCTCCTGCTATTATAAGGAGACAAATAAACAAAAGGCAAAACTTTGCAGTCCCAGAGGATCTATCCTCTAAATAAACCACCCCCTGCAACGTGCACGCATGGATTGGAACCTGGGGAACACCATGTTCTCTTACTTTGACTTTCTGCATGACCTCAGGTTTTACCCTCCTGGTTTCTGCACCACACTTGGAGGCGCTTTTCAGGGCATCCCTCCACAGCACCACGAACAGCCCATCCTGCTGCAGGGCTTTTCGCAGCCATGCAAACCTGTACACAGAGCCAGCACACAGACCTTCCTCTTGGTCTCTGAGAAAACCTGATGTTCAATGTAAACTGCAAGTTACTCTGATTTATATGGCAGATCTCCCTTGCCACCCTGAGTCCTGAAGCCCCGTTCCCTTGTGCAGAACTCTGCTCCTCCATCACGGCCCGGCTGCCTCTGTCCCCTCTGTCCCCCTGCGGCTGCTGCGTGGGTCTGGAAAGGGACCAAGAGGTCTGGACACGAGACTGAATAATTACCTGGTGTTATTAAAATTTAGAGTTTTGAGTCGAGTGATTATTCTGAGCTCGAGAGGGCTAATTTCATTTCCGTCTGGCTTCACAGAAACTACGCAAACCAGATCCCAAGCAAGATATCCAGTTACAAGCGCCGCGTAATCTGCGGAGCCGAGCCTCGGCACTGCTGGCAGGCGCTCATGGGGCCAGAGCAGCTGTTAACCGCTGTGTCTCCACCGCACAGCACACGGCTGGGTAAGGGAAATCTTCCCCAAGCTGCCTTCATTTGGAGCGGGGTCTGCACTTCTCTTTTTCCGGGTCTGAAAATGAAAATCTGCCATTTCACTGATTGTTTTTTTTTTCCATTTGAAAACATAATCACAGAACCCCAGCATGGCAGGGGTTGGAAAGGACCTCTGGGGATCCCCCAGCCCAACCCCCTGCCCAAGCAGGGTCACCCAGAGCAGGCTGCACAGCACCACGTCCAGGCGGGTCTTGAATATCTCCAGAGAAGGAGACTCCACAGCCTCCCTGGGCAGCCTGGGCCAGGGCTCCATCACCCTCAAGGGGAAGAAGTTCTTCCTCGTGTTCAGCTGGAACTTCCTCTGTTTCAGTTTGTGCCCGGTGCCCCTTGTCCTGTCGCTGGGCACCACTGAGAAGAGTCTGGCCCCGTCCTCCTGACACTCACCCTTCAGATATTTATGGGCATTTATTAGGTCCCCTCTCAGCCTTCCCTTCTCCAGGCTGAACAAGCCCAGCCAGCTCCCTCAGCCTTTCCTTGTGGGAGAGATGCTCCAGTCCCCTCATCATCCTCGTAGCCCTCCGCTGGACTCTCTCCAGTAGCTCTGTTGCCAGGTGGAATGAACCCAGATGGAAAACCTTTCACTCTGAAGCAGAGGTGGCATTGACGTATGACGTATTAACCTGTTGGTAATGCAACAATGACCACTTCTAGGGATTCTCACTTAAAACAAAAAAAAAGTAAGCTTCATGACAGGAACCACACTGATCAGTTAAAGCAGAGGGTTTCTGTCCTGTATGAAGCTCCTGCCTGAGCTGACGTGGGGTGTCACAGTGCTGGGTGTCACTCTGTGGAGATGCTGGTGTGTTGAATCAGAGCTGTCATACTCAGAGAAGTGCCAGGCCAACCCTTCACGCTGAGAAGGAGAAAGCAGGAGTGGATGCTTTACTCCAGATTCCTTCCTTTACTCCAGATACCTTCCTTAGAGGATGCCTAAGTCTCCGCAGCTAAACTGGCATATGCAAAAGCAAAGACTTCTTTATTGTTCGTGTGCAAGTCATATGGTATTTTATGCTCTACTTACCTGAAGAGAAGCATCAGGGCTTGGAGGAAGGTACGGAAGTTATTGTGCCGATTAATGGAGGTTTCATCATCTAGTGCAATGTTTCCAAATACCTGCCACAGAAAACAGAAGGGATTCAGGCCAAACACATCTCCGCATGGACATTGGCAATAAAGGTGGATCAAGTGGAGTTAGAAGAAAAGGCAGGAAAATCATTCATCCTGGTTTAAGGGATCTCTAAAGCTAGAACAATTTCTGTGCTGAAGAGGGAGATCAAATGGGGAAAAAAAAAAGGTTATTGCACTTCATCTTCTCACGGGCCCTTTCCAACACCACAATTCAGCTCCTGTCATCCAAGAGAAGATATTTCAAGACAAGAAAACTGTCTCCCTTCTTTTCAGCAAGGTGCAGCGCCTGCGCTGCTCCCCGCATGCCAGTGCCCAGCGGAGGGACGAGCCCTGCCCGCGGCAGACACGGCTGCCCCCCCCCCCCTCCGGGACGCCACCCCGCGGCGCCCAGGGCCACGCTCCACACAAGACCTGGCAACAAGGGTAGAAAAATTGGCCTTTTTTTTGACGTCTAATTTACCTGACACCAGACAAGAAGAGCCTTTTGCCTCATCCTGAAGTCAGTTGTTGATCCTTCCGTGGAGGCAATAACCCATTTGCACCCTGGACCAGCGGGACAAAACCAGGCTACTTATGACCAGTACTAAAGCTAAAATTTTTACCTGCATGCCAATAATGGCGTAGATGAAGAAGAGCATTGCAATGAGGAGACACACATAAGGCAAGGCCTGAAGAAAAGGAGAAGGCAGTATTAATGACAGCAAACGCATACATCAGCCAGTAACATTTAATTCCTAGGTAGCACTGTGTTCTGTGGCTCTTGTCCTTCAGATGAAGAACTGGGAAAAGAATATGAACAATTTTGACAGCCCTCAGCAGACAAACCCCTGGAGGCAGGTATTGATCGATCACAAAACAGTCTGGGCTTTCCGAGGGCTCTCTAGGCATCCTTGCAAGCAGATAAGCAGTAAGCAGGGAAAACACAATAAGAAGCTCTGCAGCAAGAACAGGCACCACCAGCAGGCACTGGCACTTTCTATGCATAATTGTAGAAACATTCATTTTTAATGATCTTGCTGTAAATTTAGTATGAGGAAGAAATACACATCCAAGAAACAAGTTCCTGCTCTGAAACAGGGACAGACTGCAATCCCGGAGGACGAAAAAATTCTGAGTTTTAGCAAGAAATCAGTGAAGGCTACAATGTAATTATGTCATCCAAGCTTGGAGTAATAGCTACTTTCCACTCAAGAAAAATGAATGGGTAATTAATGCCTCTTAATTAGCAATAGCTGAAAAAATAAGAAGTCATGCCCTAGTGCTAGAACGTGTGATGCTCGGGGCAGGAGAGGGGTTAGGCAGCCCATGGGGAGCCCAGTAGGAAACACGGGGCAAAGGGCTGATGTGGCTTCTGCTGGACACCTTTGCATAAGGGGCAAGGACCGAGAGCTCAGGGACAGAGGGAAGGTGGCCAAGCAGCTCCCCACACAGCCCGGGAACCATCCCAGCTCTGCTTCAGGGGCAGCACTCTGCACTCACACTTCATAAAGGGGCAGGGTTAGACTGAAAAGGGCCTTGGCTGAGCCCCTCTCCCAAGATCCAGCCAAGGCTATGCAGTCCAAGGACACTCTTCTGAGTGGAAACGTCTGATACCTGCAGACCCCACATCTCTGCCTCTGGTAGAGGCTCTCCTGGCTGCTCCTCATGAGTTACAAGGTGAGAGCAGCAGCAGCACCACCTCCATCCACACTCAAGGAAAACATGACCTAACAAATCTAAGGCACTGCAATCCCCCTGGATCACAGTCCCTTTCCATTAGCTGCTTGATGGCTGGGTGAAAGCACCACACAGAAGCTGAATGTGAGAGCACCAGCTGCCTGTCTGGAGTCTCCCAGAGGGACGTACAGTGTGATACAACACTCTCCCCCTTCCCTGGCCACGGGATAACAGCACGGCTGCCTGCAGTTCTTCTCCACGTTGCTCACAGAAAGAAGCAATCACTACGTTCTCTTCTCCACCCTCCAAAAAGATTTTGACTCGAGAGTCTAAAAGATCTGATAGAAATTTCCCTCTCTACCAGCTGCGGTGCAGAAAACCAAGCCATGTTCACACTCTGCTGAAACCGGTTCTCCATCCCGGTCCTCTTGCAACCGGCGCGGGGCTGGCCAAAGCTCCCAGCCTGGCGTTGACAGAGCAACCCGGCATCTCTCTCCCATCACAGGAGAGAAATTTCTGTCTTCTCTCCAAAAGTCTTTTCCATTTTTGAAGAGAGCACGTTCCTCCTCACATCTTTATCACCTATAATAACCTCTCTGCGTCCTTTTGATGCAGATGCCACGACGAATTTCAAAGCGCAGCTAAAGGAAAAGAAACCAGTTGCTGTGCATCCCACCGCACACTGCATCTTTAAATACCAATGGCCACCATAATGCCTCCCAGAAAACACCGTGCAAAATGTCTTGATGTTGCACCGACCTGCAGACAAGCTCTCCTGAGCCTGCAACAGCACCCAGGACTTAAGCTATCACCCACAGACCTCAGAACTCACCCAAGAGGGTGGTGAGACCCTGTGCCAAGACAGAGGTCCCCAGGCTGGCCGAGCCACTCGCCACGTGCCCGGGTAGTGCTTGGGAACATGGCAGCCTGACAGAGAGTGGGAGGTGACGTTCACTTGCTGTGAGCTACCAAACAGATCCATCTTCGGGCACTCCCTGACCTCATTACACTTTGCTTTCCCACATCATCCCTCAACTTATACTTCTCTGAAAGCCCTACAAGATCTCCGAGGCAGGGAGGTCAAGTGCTTTCTGGAAGAGGATCCACGTGTGATGGAGCTGGGCATCTGCACCCTGCACCTGCAGTTAATAAATACCAGTCTGCTAGAGTTCAATATCAGTACCAAAAATCCTGATTTCAGACTAAATTATCTCCTTTCTGCACTGCAGAATGTGAGCATGCCCCATAACTGGAGTTAAAACACAATAAGCTGTGGAAATCAGCTGCAAACCAGCTGAGAGATGGTAAAAATAACCAGCTTTGGGGCATGTGGGCTCTTATTCAGATCTGGAAAAGAGCTAACACGAAGCTAAGCACAGGTTGAGAACCGAGCTGCTGTAAGGCAGTTTTCTGAGGGTCACTCAGTTCAGAAGTACCATATCCAGCTGCCGTGTCCGGTTGCCCCTGCGCCACAAAGTACCTGCTGCCAAGACGTGCTGAGGCTTGCTGGGAGGGAAGGACAGGGGAAAAGGCTACCAGGCAAAGCAACTATCCCAACTTTCGAACAAAAAAATCATTTTTATTAATCCTCCGTGGCATAAAATCACAGCCCTGTGTTATACAGCTTCACAGTTTATATTACCAAAACACAATGGTTTGGGTTTCGCTTCTATCAATTTCTACCAAGACTGAAACCTGGTGAAAGCAATATAACCTTATACTCGCTGCAGGCATTAAGGCACTTGTTAGTCAGACTACTGTTTCCTTCTGCTAACACCTGAGTCTCAAGATTTTCCCATAGGGATCTGTGATAGTTTCCAAGGGCAACTTGAACTTTGCACACTGGCTGCGAGCTTGCATCAGTCACTGCCTGGCTTTCAGACTCATCTTCCAAAATGCTCAGCATCTACAGTGTTCAAGGAATGTTCTGTGCAAATCAGCGTTTCTGCAGAATTAATATTCCTGTAATTGCTCTGTAGAGATGCAGAGAGACCTTTCCCTTGACAAGGGGCAGCTCTTTGATACTCGTTGGAGGATGCCACAGACTTGCCAAGCATCAACATCTCCCCACGTCTCTTCCCTGCCTCCCACCTATGTAACACTCACCTTAAAAGACTGCACAAACGTCCAGAGCAAGATGCGGATAGTGTAACCCTGCCGAAGGAGCTTGATGAGTCTCGCTGCCCTGAAGAGCCGCAGGAAGCTGAGGTTGATGAAGTTGTCCTGCGGAAAGTAAAGGTTTTGTGTCCTTCAGAAATTAACGCGATTAGAAACCACAGCCCGCAAAAAAGAAATTAAAATTACCAGCTTCACGATCTAAGCAGCAAATCGGCCACCAGAAAACCTTCCAAAAGAAACATTCGTCAGTGCAGATCACTCCACATGCAGCAAGTATGAGAAAATCCCTCTCCACAAGAGCCCTCCCCTCTGCTACTGGGTCAAAGACAGAAAAGGAAAAAGGCCCTTTCACGCTGTCCATGGAGGTCTTGTTTTCTTTAAGAGAGACTTTTCTCCCCTGAAAGACTCAGGGAGAGGTAATGGTGCCGTATTATCATTTTGTAAAGAACGAGATTGTTTTGAAGTCTTGGTCAGATCACTTTCTACAATGAATTGAACTTAAGCCAAGACAGTTGCAAGGGACTGCACTTATAGCCTCTACTGTAAGAAAGAAAGGCATTGTCCAGCGAAGATTAAAACATCCTTGATGTTTTCTAACCTGGAGGTTTTAGAATGTTTATACAACGTGACTGGACAGGCTCATCAAGGAGAAAAGGCACCAGCAAGACTTTGGAAGATGTATCAATGGCAGCAAGTCGGTTGGGGAGGGTGAGCGTTTAACAGCAGGAGGGTGCCTTAGGAACCTGCTGATTTTTAAAATTATTATTAAACATGCCTTCACAGGTGGATCAAAGAACTGCTGGAGACAGATTCTGTTTTCCATTTGTTTTGTATGATTCTCCCCACCCCACAACCCGTTTTTTTTCTTTCCTTCATGGAAAAGAGGTTTCTTGCCCCAATGAGCTAATCTAGAGAGGGTTCTTTCCAAAACAAACATGCAAAAGCCAGATCCCTCTTGCCCTCCTATTTTAAGGAGATGAAAAATATCACCCCTTTCTGTACTGATTCCAATTCACTTATTTGTGAATCTCTGTTCACAGCCACTTATTTGACTGGGTTAGCTAAAGAGAGAAAGCATCCCACTTTGAACTATTAAGAAGTGGAGTGGAAAATATAATCATACGGAGCTCTTGTTAGTAAAGATGAGCAAAATAGTCCTTCCCTTATATTATTGTTCTTCCAGGAGGCATCCAGTCATATTGAACTGACCCACGTTTCTTGCTCATTTGGCTACAGCGCTTACGCTGAATATGGGGGGCTTGTTGGATCTATTCATTTATTTAAATGCCAGCTCAGTTTTGGGGCCATTAGCATCGCATTCCACCAATCCCACCAAAGAGTTCAAGAAATCAGTCTCAGGCATGCACTCGGTTTCTCTCATGTTAAAAACGCAAGCAGCTCAGAGTTAGGCACAGACCGTATATCAGACTCAATCCTCAAATAAAGAGAAAAGAGAAAAGCACAGGTATGTTCAATGAAAGAGCAGACAACACTGAGCTCATTCAAGTCAGCAACAGAAAGCAGCTCTGGCAGGCAAAACACAAGCACGGATTCCCCTGGGTTGTTCAAGGTCAGTAAAACAAGCACTAAACTTCAATGCTTGCCTCTTCGCATCAGCTTCTGTTTAATTCTTCACATTGGTTACGTTCCCTTCACAAAATACCAGCCGAACTCACCTGAGCAGGTCAGGGCTGGATAGGACCCGGGGGACAGAGTCAGACTGTGGCTGGATAACTGGGTGCTGTCGGCAATCTGTTACCTGCTCCCCCTGCTCCGGCTGCGGTGCAGGCTGATACATCTCCGCAGAGCGGCTGCAGCGGGCGAAGGTTTAACCCAGAGCCCATTTTAATCAGGGAAAGTTCCCCCACCAGCAGCAACTGGATCAGACCTTACGTATAACACTCATGGTACTCAAGCACCAGGCCTGCAAGTCTGACAAGTTATTACCTCCAGAACAATGCTCAAGCCAGCTCTGTGTTGTGCACAAGCCTAACGCTCCTTCAAGGAGCACGTGCACAGGCAGCGCCTGCAGGATCCATCTCTCTGTGCAAGAACCTGCCTCGCCCCCCTCTTCGCCCGTTACTGCCGTTTAACAGCAAGAACACTGCTTTGCTCAGGCTTTGCCCTAATCTCATAATCACAGCGGACGCGATGCTGAGCATCTGCTTTGGTCTAAGCTGACTGCAAGGTCACACTCAGCACAAGACATCCCTCTGCTACGCAAGGCTTCATACCGGATTGTTTGTGTACTTGTGGTATGAAACCAGGGGCTCAAACTGTGCAGCTATGTCTATAACACCCCCAAATCCCTGGGAGCTGGAGGAACAAACAGCCCATAACCTTGTATTGTTCTTCCCCAACTCCAAACCCTCCTTGTTTGACTTATGCATTGCTGCTTCCTAAAGAGCAGCAAAAGCCTCAGCTCTGCGGGGAATCACTCGCAACCCAGGAAAATCCACCGTCACCAACACTGGCAGACCGTTCGAAGGACCGTTCTCTGCGCTGTTCGTAGGGAGGCAAAGTTACACACGCTCGTGACGGATGGAAGGGCTCCGCCTGTGTAACCCCCAGCACACCACGTAGAAAACCTGTCCTTCGACAACTCGACTGTCCAGGCAGGTATTAGAATGGCATGCAGTTAAAGGGGAAACTCCACATTGCAATATTTCTTGTGGATAACAGTGTTTTGCATCAACTCTCGTCCCACTTAGCCACCTCTGTAACACAACACGCACACAAACATCTTCTGGGTTAGCAAGGTCTTTCTTTCCATGTTTTTGTTCGCTTTTCTGTTGCACAGATGCTAAAGGCTGACCGGTGCTCACAAGATGCACTATAGCTTTGTGATTTTATGATCCACTTGAGGACTAGCAAATCACATTTGAAAAACATTTCCCCCCGGCCTGTCATTATTTTCCTAAGAGAAGGGGCTCTGCACGGACGGCACCCAGCCACTGCCAGGCCCCGGGGAGTCTGGGCACAGCCACTGCTTCCCATGGCAGGAGCGTGACCAAAGGTCAGCCGTGCAACGCATCCCTGGAGCAAACTGCAAAGCAGGAGAAAGAACAGGTATCATGGATAAAGATTGCTTGTCCCACAGCTTGATTGCTATCCCACCATGGGCAGCCCACTCTTTACCCATTCTTAGGGTGTTTTCCAGAGCAAGGAGTAAAAAAGCCATAAAGAATAGGGCGCACAGCCATTGCCCAGATCTGTTTCTCCAGTGTCTTCAGCAGCAGAGTGGTTTCCTCCTGAACACAGGAGCTGTGCCCACTGTCCACAGGGATGCAGAATGAGCTCTGTTCTGTACACCAGTGGATTTACTGGTTTTGGATTTTTAAACCTGTAGTGAGAATTTGAGGTTTTTATGCCATGGCTGGACGTGTTCTGCAGAATTTAGTGAAAGAGGTTACATTATGCTGCCACAAATCAAGAAATTTGGCAGAAGTTAAGCTGCTCATCCCTGCTTATTCCTGCAGCCCAGCAGCAGAACACAGCGACTCCCCAGACCTGAAACTTCAGATTTCTGTCCTCAAATCAAAGGGCTCGCCCAAAGTTGCCAAGACCTGTGGAAAGAGGAATCCAACCAAGCCAAGAATAGAATCACTCAGGAAGCTTTGGCAGTTCTCTTCATCTGGCATCAACAACAATTAACCCATTCTGCTAAACTACTACTGTTGAGGAAACGGTTGTGCTCCCATTAAATGTCCATGGCATTGCCAGTACTGCAGAAGAGTTGATGAATCTCACATAGCGTCTTGGCTTCCGCCGAAGCTTAGGGAAAACTGAAGATTTTTGCCACACTTGTCCATGTCCTGGGGACTCTGCCATTGCAGGCATATCATATCGTGTCCTTTTGTCCTGAGTCAAGAACACTGGAAAAATGATTTCGTGTGTGATGCCCAGATCTCTCCTCGTTCCTTACTACCTTTCAATTTGGGTGCTTCTACTGTAGTCACTGCAGGCTCCCAACAGCAGGAGTGGAAGGAAGAAGGCAGCTCCGGAGGATGACTTGGTGCTCCAAAGATCTTACTCGGACACTCTGGACACCGAGTGATGGAAGGAGCCTGGACCTGCACACAGAACCATAGAGACTGCAACACAAGCATTGAAATCTTTAACCTGCAACATGGACTGCAACAAGGCCAAAATTTGGCCAAGCGGAGATAAGATGATTTTTTCCGCTATATTTTCACGTGCACAGCTGATGCCAGGGCACTCATCTGTGTTGCCTGGGCCAGGGGTGCAGAAGGTGAAGTCTCCAAAGACATCCTCAAGCTCCCACACATCCGTAACGCTTCCAGCTACGGCAGCACACGCAGAGGATTCCCTTCTCCGACTGCACCAGGAAAACTTTAAACTGACACACTGTCATTTTCTGTGCTGCTTCCTAGCAGCAAATTTCCTCCTGCGACCCTCCACGAAGCGTGCATGGAGCTCAGCTGCAGTCTGTCATGAAGATTCACTCTGATTTGTTTCTTAACAGCAACTGTGCAACAGAAAGTCCAGATGTTAACACAGATCCAAGAGCTGTTGTCCGGTGGCCAAGCAAGTATTTTTGACAGGCTTATGGCCTGATTTATGTTATTAACCATAGCCAAGATAAATTAAGAATGGAAGAACATACATATATTTTAGATGGTATTTTTCTTTATTTATCCTCTTTTGCTTTATTTATGGTTTTCAAAGACAGAGGCCAGTATTTCCAAAGGCATCTTTGGAATCAGGCGCTAAATTCCCAATGGGATCTGAATCCCAGTACTTCTCAGCCCTGTTCATAACATGGCTTATGCATTTTACTTGAGATGTTTGCTTTTGCATCCAGGGACTCTGTGTCCGCTGTGGTGGCAAAGTGCTTCTACCTACTGGTATCACAAAGAGTTTTCAAAGTTTAATAAAAATCCCTCTTTCCTATGACTTCTTTTTAAATTTGAGAGAAGCAAGTCTGTAATCACTTCAATATTTTTTTTTTGCCTTACAATACAGCATAAACCACGGGCTCAAAATGCCCCTAAGGCAGTCCTCTTCAATGCGCTGCTTCCCTTTGCAGAAAGCTCCACACGTCTCATTGTAAAAGAGAACAAAATCGATTCCCAAGAACTGAATTTGGTGCCACCACTTAGAAAACGAAGGGCTTCCCAGCCAGCCAACCTTCTCTACTGCAGGCCATCCAGAAGGAGCCTTCCCTCCTATTCCCATCCAATTTTCCACCAAAATAAAGCAAGTGTCAGTCTCCCCTTTATCCTTGTCAGGTACAGCAAACAGCGGAGAGCAGGCTATTGGTAACTGCATTGGCCTCACGTCACCAATTAGCCAAGGGGAAGAAGATGCAGAACAGAAGCCAGTTTTGAGGCACGCTGCAGTGAGGCTTTTTCACCAGTGCAATCGGAAATCTCATCAAAACGAATTAAATTAAAGAAAAACGAGAGAAAATAAAAGCAGAGAATTTAAAGAATTGTTTAAATTCAATGAAACCAACCGTGTCCTATATGTGATGTTTTCATGGATGGATATTTGCAAGATTATTTACAAATTTATTTTTTTTGAGCAGCAGGTGCACAACATACAGACGGAGACATGGTTTTCGCATTGTATGTTGATTGGATGGCGTGATTCAGCAGGTAGATAAGGAAAATAAAGAACAAAACAGGAAACAAAAGAGAAAATGAGTAATCAGGACAAGCAAAAAAGGAAACTCTGAAAATTTCACTGGAAAAAAACTGTTGGGCTTTTGGGGGTGTTATTTTATGATAATTATATAAATAAAAAATGCTTCAAACCAAAACATATTCTGAGATCCTAAAGGTAACACAGACAGTGCAGTAGTTATTTGCATTTCATTTTGTAATGCAAATTGGGAGACAATCCACAAACACTTCTCAGGATTTTTTTTTATATTTCCAGGCATAGAAATAGATGTCAGTTTGCCATACACCCACTCGGCCTGCCGAGGCTGGCCGTGTCCCCAAGGACACCTGCTCCTTAAAGCCACCTATTGTGCGATTTCAATTGCATTACCGTGAGGGTAAAAAACTGACATATGTGGTTTTGCCTAAGGAAATAAAAAAATATATATATATTCCACTGCATTCACAAAGTAAATTACATGACATGAGTACAAAATTAAAATAAAGCAATTTAGTCAACACATTTCTTTTCCTTTTGTCTTTACTTTTCTGTGGGTTAAAATGACCGATGCAGCACGGCTGGTGGAAGCCTAGTCTCTCGAGATGAGACCGCCCAGGTGAGCAGGTTTATTTACCTTGGAGAACACTTCTAGCTGGAAAACATAGCCATGGAGAAAAGCGGTGCTCCTGCAACTAATTGCGAGCCTGATCTCCAAGTCACACCCAAAAAGCATCCCCTCTCCAGCAGGGAGCTGGAGGGCTTCACGGGTGGCTGCCACAGGGACCGATGCAGACTGGCAGTCGAGCTCGCGTTGCGGCTGTCCCCTGGGCTTCTCAGCCAGAGAAACTCTCCTGTGTGAACTGGTAACAGCAGGGCTGAGCACACAGGGCATGGCTAACGGGGGCTGCCACCCTACTATCCCTGTGCCTGTCCATCAGCCGAGGAGAGCCTGGAGCTGAGGAAGGCAAATGGAGAAGAGAGCATCCTCTGTTGCGGACACAGCTCTCAGACGGGACGAGTAAAAACTTTCTCTCCTCTTTGGTTATTCTCAGCTTTGTAACACGGTGAGAGAGCTGCGGCACCTCCGGTCATGCACCGAGCCAGAACGCAGAAGTGGGGTTCAGCACTAGCTTTGGCGTTCCGTGCAGAGTGGACGTTCACCCTGAGCCTCAGCTACTGCTCTCCCCTACCTGGTTGTGTAAAGGGCAAATAGCGGTTGGGCAGAGGCAGCGGGATTAAAGACTCCAGGCCATACGCCTGATCCACGCTCTGTGGATGAGGCACCCGCTGATCCTCGCTTTGGTCCCTGCTGTCTGCAAACAGCATGCCACTATCACTGCATCAGGTTTTTGAGCCCCTTTCTATATTTTTGATTAGTTCTAAATACCAGAAGTATTTAAGTGCCTTAGGTGCAACCCCATTTTAACAAAACTGCAGGTTGTATATTACAAAGATGGTTTAAAGTGTAAATCTTCCAGGACACACATGCATCATGCCACTTCCCAAGGCAGCAAAGAGAGTCCTGGTGTTTCCCAGGCAGGTTCGGGACCCCTTGGGTTTCCCCTGATGCACTGTGCGTCAGAATAACACGTCCTGCAACCTGTCATGGAGCCAACAAAATGCAGAGCGCTGGATCCTTCTGCTTGTTTTCCACCCTGCATGCCCCAGACTGTGCTCAGGACTGGAAGGAGAAGGTGGCTTGCAGTGGCAGTGGAGATCCTGGTACAAGACTACCCCCACCACGTGCCTCTGGATGAAGCAGAATGAACTGCTTCGTGAAAGACATCCTTAAATCTGCCATTAACAATTCTGTTACAAATGCAGTACCACTGCAAACTCCCACTCCTGTAAATAAACAGTGATCCTATGTCTTGTGCATCAACATTCCCTGTAAGCAAACTAAGCTCCTAACACCTCTTCAGCAAGCTGTGCATGATGCCTTTGAACCCTCAGGCCATCGCCCCTATCTGAGGCTGTGGTGGGCGCGTGCAGCTTAACGAAGCATCGCACCAGCGGCTACAAGAGCCGCACAGTGCAGATGAGCGTGCTGCTGACAACGGGGCCGAGCTGGAGAGAGATCAGAGAGGAGGTGTATGAAAGAAGTTTTGGAAAACAAGTCTAGGAAGAAGGTGGGGGGGGACACCTCTGAGCACTCCATCAGCAGGGGAAAGCACATGGAAAAGGGACAGGACAGCTATACAGAATTGCTGCAGAAGGGGAAGATTCAGCGAGAGCAGAGCTCAAATACATCGACGGGCTGAGACAGAGGACCAAGAGGTGAGGCGCTGGAGCGCTACTGGGGGATGTACACCTTTAATATTAAAGACAGGTTTGTGAGCAGCTTTGTATTGGACACAGTGCCAGGGGAAGCTGTTGAACTACATTAGTACCTCTACATTACTACCTCTCTGAGGTTTGACTTCATGGATCTAGCTACTCATAAACGAAAAGCCTCTCCATTACCACCCGGGAAGATAAGGGAAAGGCATATAGGTGCTTGGGAGTTTAACCTTTTGCAGTTTACTGACTGTTCTTAGAGGTAATTCATACTACTCTTCAAAACCTGCTGCTATTTTTGATGCTGGAAACCAGATAAATCACTGCAGAGTGGGAGGGTGATGCCGTCACTCCTGGCACCCTCAGGGTTGCTCCTCCTGACTCACATGAGGCTGTTTGAGAACACATTTACTCTCCAGCCCAGAGACCACGAGAGGGATGGGGAACCTCCGCCTACACACTAACTCTCCTGCCCCTAGCAGCTGGCCAGCAGTGCCAAGGGACAGCTGCTGCTTCCAAAAAGTTGGGGACGTGCATATACAGCCCCAGACATGCAGTGGCTTTGTCTTAAATTCACGTACCACAGCCCAACCTGACCAGTCCGCAGCCAATTCCCCAGGTGCCAGACACCCTCGCTAAGGCTGGATCAGCCCCGTGGGTGCTGGAGGGAGAGGCAATGGCCTGCTAACGGAGCAGGGACCGCTGCCTGCCAAGTAGGGAATGGGCAACACTGATGGTTGCTTTCTGCCTGCTAAATAGCTCTGCAAAGAAGGATTTTAATAAGAAGCATGTGGGCTTGGTGTTGAATCTCAGAGAGACCACAGGCTCCCTTACCACGTGTGAGTCGGCTGTGCTGCTTCCTCCCAGTAAAAGAGGCTGAAGGAGCAGTGGAAGAGAAGCATCAGTCTCTGTTTGTGACTGACTTGCAAATGTCTCAATGAATTTTCAAACGAAGGCAAAAGCCTGGGCACCCGAGTCTGGCAAGAAAGCGTGTCCCATTACAGAGGGAGCGGCAGCAAGCATCCAGTACCTGCCTACGGTGCAATAAATCTCCTCAGCACTCAGAGCAGTGGTAGTCAGACCTTGCGTTTGATCTGAGTAGCTTTACCCTGGCTGTAAGCCATGCATTGAAAACAAAGGTAATCCAAAGTCTACGTGACAGAATTCACCAGCTGTTAAATGAACACCATTCGTGTGGGGAGTAAAACTTTGGGGGTTTGTGTGCTTTTTTGTACCAAGGAGGTTAGGTAATAAAGTATTTTGTTAGAAACAGTAATATGGTCTTCACTACCAGCTGAATGTCCTGTAAAGAAGTCTGGGGAGCATAGTTCTTAGCACACACAAAACAGATATATAAGCAAATCCCAGGGACTGAGAAAAAAAATTACGGCAAAGTTCAAATTTGTCACATACAGATACAGTACCATCAGCTAAAGCATGCACTGGGAGAGGAGAGGAGCAATTTATAAATTGGATAATATCAGGCTGTCAAGTCAGACACTTGCTGACCTTATGGAAAAATCCTCTAGAATTTAATGGCAAGTTTTTACACTTCTTGTAATCTATGGGACTCGTTAGCAGGGAGAGAACAGTCTTTGTAAAGTTGCTTGCTTGCTTGTTTTAATGATTGCCTTGCAATGCTGTTGTGCACAGAACAGAAATGCACCGTGTTCCCCCAGTGCAGGCTGTGCAGGCTGATGAGTTTCTGGCTGTCTCTACATTCCCGTCACCTCTCCCTTTCTCACTCCTCTTGTCGCCTTCACTCTGCCCCGTGACCGAGCCTGGGAAGCAGCCCCAAGGCGCAGACATGGGGGTGTGTGCCCTGCAAAGCACCTCACTCTATAAACCAGCAGTCTAACAGAACCCTTTTGATCTTTTCCCCTCTATTAAATTCAACAGGATTTTTCCATTAATAGGCAAAACCAGCTCGGGGTTAGAGTCGTTTGCTGAACGAGAGACTGTTTCCTGGCAGAGTCACTAGCACTGTCGTTCTCATCACAGCTTTTCGCTTGGCAGTCTTTGGGACAGACAGCCGTGCTCATCTCCGTGGAAAGAGCAGAGCTAATGGGAACAGGCTGCCAGGTCACCCGAGGACATCATCACGCGATGAGTCCCAGGGAATACGGCTGGTGGGGAGAAGGTGCAATGTCCTGACAGGTTACAGCTTTGTTAGTAAAATGAAACAAATTGAGCAAACTGTACTTACCGCAATCTCTGTTACTAAAATATCAGTAATACTTCCCAACACTGTTACAAAATCAAAGACATTCCAGGCATCTCGGAAATAGTTCTGCCAAATGAAAACACAAGGAGGATAGAGGGATCCAGGTGTTATTTTTTTTTTTTGCAACACAGGCTTTGTTTGTTTGTTTTTAAATGCACGTCATGAAATACAAGCATTTCATGTAGAGAGGAAACAGTTGAAAGTAAACGAGGAAGGCACATACCAGCACACCAAAGGCAATGATCTTCAGCACACATTCCATTGAAAACATGGATGTAAACACAATATTCAGGCATTTCAACATTTCTTCATATGCTTCTGGAGCATCATAGAACTAAACCAGGATGGAAGAAAGGTTGTTACTGGAGGATCGCTTACAGTAGAAAACCTTCCCAGCTGATGTGCCTGACTGCAAGACTCCTGCCCATCTTAGTTCTCACTTTAAGCAAGACTTGGGGTTGCAACGTGGTGATTCATGCTGTGCCAGAAGCACACCGTTGCCTACATGCTATTCTAATGGAGCAGCTGGGAATAACCGCCGGACTGGGACACGGTTACTGGTGCACATCTCCCTGTAAGCACAACACAGAGCAGGAGGGAGGAAGGGCATTTTCAGAACCCGAGGACAAGTGCAGAACTGTGTTTCATTCCAGAAGAAGATGGTGACCCCTTGACTGTGAAGATACTCTAGGCAAGGGTTAGGAGGGGAGATCATCCATAATACCCAGCCACCTGCATCTCTTCCTCCTAGGCATGGTGGATCATGTCCCAGAATATTGACACTGCTGCAAATTTGAGTAATTTCCCTGAGGCAGCTGGGTTTCGAGCATCCCCCAGAAGTGACCCTGCTCTGCAGCAGAAAGCCCGGGTTGAGCCGGGAGCTCCAAACCTGCAGAGCCCAGTTCCCATCCCACTGGCCATATGCTGAAGGGGCTACGAGCCAAACCAGTGCTGTGCAGGCGAATGCTGTTCGCAGTGTCTCATCAAACCTAAACCACCTCCCTTTTGGGACCAAAGGAATCCCACAAGACCTCTAAAAACAACATCAGGCAGATAAGAAGTGGTGGCAGACCCTGCTGAGCCCCCCCAGGTCTCCTCAAGAGTACAAAGCCTCTCCAGCAAACACCGTATTCGCTAGACAGAGATTGCAAAGATTCAGTAACAGCCCACTAACCTTCATCATTAGGACAATGGTATTGAGTGCAATCATGACCATGATAAAATACTCAAAGGGAGGGGACACCACAAATTTCCACATCTTGTACTGAAAAGATTGCTTGTTCTGAGGCATGTAGCGGGTCAGTGGCTTGGCACTTATGGCGAAGTCTATGCAGGCCCTCTACAAAACAAAAACGGGATGAAAAGAATACCAAAAAAAAGGCTGGCAGTCTCTATCATTCGGGATGTTGCTGGGAGAGGGAGCGGAGCATTTAGTGGAGGATGGTATTTCTCAGTGTTTCTCACATGTTATGAGAGTACTGACTACTATAAACATCAGCACAGGATCCTGAAGTTATAATCACTTTTGGGCACTCACTGAAATACTAAATCCCACAACACTCCCATGGCCCCCTGCAACCCTAAGACACAGCCTTCCATCCCTTCCCAGCTCCCAGTAAGTCCCAATTCCTTCCCACTTAGGGAAGGGTGTTCTAAATCCACAAGCTCACTTCAGGAAGCACTCTGCCTGTTCCTCCTCCTATGTAATTGTAGAAACCAGAGGACTGGTAAAGACGTTATCTGTGTTTAAAAAAAAAGTATTGTGAAACCCAGGTATGTTCTCACATACGGCAAAACCTGTCCAGCTAATAACATTTCATAAAATGTGAACTGAATTCAACCCGTAAATTATCCAACAAACATTTCTGGGTGAACTCACAAAGACCTCCTTAGCTGGCTATTCCTCTTCACATTATTATGAGTATAAAACTAAATTAAAAATTGGTTTCTACCAATCAGATCTACTATTTGATCTACGATCAAAGCAAAAAGCTTTGATTCTGGAGAATTTTCTCATCTCAGATTTAGATAAGAATTCGAAGTCTTGAACTACTGCAAAAATATCATCTGCTCAGTTGAAAAACAATGTGGGCAAAGCATCTCTAAATATTCTGCTTTATTTTGGACTTTTTGTTCACATAGACAAACAATGTACTAATTAATAATTGATTAAAAAGTCATCTCTTTTCATCAAAAATCAGGCTCCAGTTTCAAAATACTCGAAAAGAGATGGTTCCTTGCACAACAGGCCATTGAGGCTGTGCAACCCCAGACGAAGGATGTTGCAGATGTTAAAAATCTGCATGGGTTCAGGAGGAAACTGGATACATTCATGGAATACACACACACATATGCCACTATCCAAAGAAAAATCATGTCTAGCTCAGGAGGTTCCCGAGCTCAAAATAATGGTGTTTACTAGCGTATTAAAGAAAAGAGTGCTTGCCCTGGTCTTATACTCTTCCCAAGGCATCTACTTTCGGCTGCTGTCAGAAGGACACGGTCTCAGCTCCTCTGGGGAGCTGTAGCAACTATAGCTCAGTTTGATTTCTGAAGACTGGCCTCTAAAAGGCCAAAGATTTTTCTCCTTTCACACCTACATGCTTGAGCTAACACACAAGTCTATCTTCACTTTGAAGCAGAGGTGTGGTCCGTGGGGACGCGTGACACTGCTTACTGACGTGCAGCATGCGGGGGCTCTCTCTGGTTTCGTTTTTATGCAAAAGCTGAAACAGTCCGTAATCGGTTTGGTCTCTACACCACACATCCTCAGGTAACAACTGCTCTAAAGCCCCCCACGGCGCGGGAGGGACGAGGAATGGGCTTCCACCAGTATTGAGGTTCTCTGAGCCCCCAGATTCTAACTCCGGATTCAGAAGACACAGGTACCTCGTTTTTCTCGAGGCTGCACTCTGACATCACTTTATCTCCTTGCTCTTGGAAGGTGATGATGATTAACGCCACAAAGATGTTCACAAAGAAAAAAGGGAAGACAACAAAATACACCACGTAAAAGATAGACATTTCCATTCGGTAGCCAGGGCTGGGACCCTGTTCCTCGTAGGTAGCATCCACCGAGTGCTTCAGCACACTGCAATCAAGCGCAAAGAGAGAAGAAAAGTCAATGAAATCAGTGTGAAGCACCAATGATACCCTGATAGTCATTTACTGGCCTTCACTCACGAGGACGGTTTTCCACATACGCTCAGGTCAAACTCACTCCCATCTCTATGGCTGGGAAGAAGTTTTCCCTGAGGATATTTTAAAGGAAACCCTCGCTGTTTTCACCATTCTGCAGAATCATGGAGATTTGCTATGTACAGATCCACTTATCCCCCTGGCCAAGGGGAGGGGATACAGTTCGATCTGGCTTCTCTTCTCTGGTCAACGGGGATGAAGAAAGGGTGGGAAAAGAAAGATGTTGATGATCTCCGAGTAGGGGAACACAGTGAGGGACTGGAGAAGGAAGACTGATGCTGTATGTTTATTCTTTACTTTATGAAATAGCGGACTGTGGAGGACAGAGAAAGCCTGCCATGGAGAAACCCCGACCATGAACTGTACTCCACATGTCCCAGCAAAAAAATGTGCCAAAATAAAGTCATACACTGAACAGTAAATACAATTTTGGGACTGTCATACCCAGCATACTTTCAGCATAGGTCACAATACTTTTTCCCCTCATTTTCTTACATTCCCATTATGAATTTTACTCCTGAGAAAGGCATGCAAGTCCAAAAAACACAGAGCAAGCAAGCTATTAAGTACTGAACACTGCCAAAGGATCCCTGTGCAAGCTCAGAGGAATGTCAAGAAAAATGCAGAGCCCTGCCTGCTGATTCACCCAATAATCACACAAGGGAAAGTAAAAGCTTAGCTGAGAAAAGACTATTCTTATTTCACAGGTCACCTGCCATTTATGTGTCCCTCAAACCTGTCAAAAGCTGCCATTAACTCCGCGATCCCTGACCCTGCCAGTCCCACATACTCACGTTGGCCACCCTTCACCCGTGGAGACGGTGAAGAGCGTGAGCAGCGCCCAGAGCACGTTGTCGTAGTGGAACTCGTATTTTTTCCATTCCCTGGGCTGTGCCTCCACCTCATTTTTTTCATAATCGAGGTACTGACCCCTAGGAAAAAACAGATATTCAGACCAAAAGAGAGAATGACACCAAATCAGCCATTTCGTATGACTCACTGAGGAACATCAAAAAGCTCCAGTAGCAGAGTCCAACTGTGCTATATAGTAAAGACAAATAAAGAGAGAGCCCCTAGGTTTGTAACAGAAGTAAAGGCCATTTTATGAGCCATTTTGAGCCACAGGAACTGGACCTGAGGCCTAGAAATGAAAGAAATTGTAATCAGGACATTCATTCATCCATTAGGCAAAGCTGGCAATTCACAGCATGCCAGCCCCCAAATTGTTTGACCCCATGGAAAACCATGCTGCTGGATGGGGAAAAGTCTTTGGCTCCTACTTCAGAGTTGGATTTAACTTCTAACTTGGTCCCGCTTTGGGGGGCCGAGGGACCTGGCATCTGGAGAGTTCCCTTCCAACCCACATTTTTATATAAATTTACATTTCTTTCTGTAATATATCTGCTTTTTTTTCAAGGAAGAATTGCAGTGACAGCCTCCGTGGCTGCTGCGTGCATGCAGTCCCACCAGGGTTGTGCCCAGTGCTTGCCAAGCATCAGGAAAGGGGGAACGCGGGCAGCCCTGGACAGAGGCTGCCGTTTGGGTGCCAAGAAAAAAGGCAAGTGAGAAAGACGCTTGTGTGGGTTGTGGTGAGTAAAACACCTTGATAGTCTGCTGCAAAGGACAAAGCATGACAGGGCTGTTGAGATATTCAAATACTGACCCGTTTTCTAGCTTATTAGGAGCTCTTTAACTTCCTACCAATTCACTTTGATTATTTATTCATCATGTTTTTCTAATTCATACGAGCCCTAAGAATCCAGGCAGCAGGTAGAAAAAGGAGTCACACCATCCCTTCAAAAACCCCATACCTTAAAATCGCACCTAGCCCTCCCCGGGAAAAGGAGCCTGCTGCCCTCTATCATTAAGCATTTGAGTAAGCATTTGCTAGGTCAGAGCCAGGAATGATGTAGCTAGTGAAACAACAAAAATGAAAATGCACCTCTAGGGTAATTATGCTGAAGAATTGCTCTTACTCTTGAGGAGTCGTCAAGCTCAGCAGATACCAACTGATGCAGCTTTGGGACAGTCAAGGGGGCTCCTACTGCCAGCGGAAATTCCAGCTCCCCCCTCCAGCCCCGGCCCCCAGCCGTACCTGCAGTCCTTCTCCAGCTCCTTCGACTCATCAGTGCAGTAAAAGAATCTGCCTTTGAAGAGCTGCACGGCAATGACAGCAAAAATGAACATGAAGAGCATGTAAACTATGAGGATATTGAGGACGTTCTTCAGGGAATTCACTACGCAGTCGAAGACAGCCTGGGGACGGAGGAGAACAAGGATAAGGGGTCGAGAGAAAAAAAAGGTGCATCTAACTTCTAACTACACTTAGGAGTAATTACCCAACCTACAACCCATGGATGGTTTCATGGACTTGCACACCAAGTGTTTGACCAAGAGTCATACTCCAGCTTTGAGAAATAACGTCAGCTTCCTACATCTGCTTTCTCAGTGAGTTCGGCAGTGCCACAGATTTTTCTGGTGCTGCCAGTAATATTTATAAAGACAATCACAGCTCATTGAGATAAATATTAGTCCTAAGCAAATATTTCCATGGCCTTTTATGAAATAAAAAACATACTTGTGCTTAATTTCTTCCCAGTGGATAGGGAAAAACTCAAATACACTACTCGTTGACCGTTATTTGAACTGTTTGAATAATACAGAAAATACACCATACACAAAACAACCAAATGCTTCGAATAATATTTTTCTCATGAACTGTCTATCAAAATTGTTACTAATCTAGTCAGCGTACGTCAGTTCTGAACTCCCCACAAAGAACTTCTCAAATACATTTATTATTTGGTTACTAGTCACTGATTCACTGTTACAAGTAATTTGCAGTTTAATTTTAGTCTGGGAAGTTTGTCAAAATAATAGAAATTGAGCATTCTTACTGCCCAAGGACAGGGTTTGCACAATACTGTTCCTGTTTCTCTGAATGGAAGTGAATAATTCACAAAATTACACTCCTGATGCAACCCAGAAATCCTGAATTAAAACACTGGCAATATCTCTAACCACCCCATTAATCTTGCTTATTGTTGCATACGAGACCCCATCCAGGAAAAAAAATTGAAATAATTCTGAAGACAAACCGTATGAATATGACTTCTGCTTTACATACAGATTTCTGAATACTTCTAAAGAAGTGGTAAAATTACTCTGTGAAATGGCTTGAAAATAAGGAAGACATTCAATAAAAAGCAAGTGTTAGGCGTGCTGCTGTAGGACTGAGCTACTGTTGACTGTTTTATGATCCAAGAGATGGGCATTTCCAATTCCCAAACTAATCAAGACCATTTTCTACATTGTTCAACATTACTCATCCTTATCTTTTGAGGTAAACTTAGTATGAACAAAAATACATTTAAACATGAATTATGGGTAAGGAAAAAAGCAAATCTGTGTAATGGCTAACGCTGATATTTACACTCCACTATGTGGAAGCAGGAATTGTCAGACATAGTTCTACCGCTGCAAAAGCACCCATCGCTTTTTCCCCATCTCTCACAGAAAAGAGCCTGCAAGCAGTGACGACACATGAAGGCATTCTGCGACATGTATTCAAAAGATCCCAAAACTCAGAAATTATTAGATTTTCTAACTCCTTCCATTCTCTGCTTCCAGGGGTTGGCTGTGTCTCAAAGAGTTCTTGAAATGGTGTTGAATAAGTAACCACAGGCAATTACATTTATTTTACTTCGTAACTGCGTATTCTAGAGATGAAAGGGTACTGCTATAAAATCCTGCACTATACATTCTTTAATAGAAAAGATGAACAGATTAAAAGCTCTCACACAGCAATGACATTTCTCTTTAGACAGACTGTAGAAAATCTTGAAATATTCATATTAAGTTCTCTAGGGAAAGTCAAGCACTCCAAAACCTATTTTCTCCTGTATCATTTCCAAGAGCATCTCACAAACTGTAACTTATTTGTGGTTTTTTCTTTTCTTTTTTTAGAAGTTTGATTTTAATGTGGATTCACAATAATTCATAATACTGCACACAATTTTTGCAAAAGGAACAAGTGTTTGACATTTGCTAAACATCTGCACAGCTATTTTTATAAACCTGGCAAAGGGATTAATTGCAACAAAATAAAAGGAACACAAATAACTTGGATCAAGTTCAGTCCATCAGCTTCCAATCAGATTGGCTACAAACCTCCAGAGAAGGAAAGATTTGTGGTTATTCTCTAACCTTTAGTTTTGGCAGCCGTTTAATGGTCTTCAGTGGCCTTAGGACCCGCAGAACTCGCAGTGACTTGATTGTGTTGATGTCCTTGCCTTTGGTTCCTCTGTAAGGGATAAACGGCACAAGAACAACAGAGGAAACAGTTTGATCCTCAGATCTCTAACCAGAAGATCTCTAGATACCCAGTGGATTTTTGGTTGTGGTTTTTGGTGGAGGTTTTTTGTGGGTTTGGGTTTTTTTTACGGGTTTTGGATGCCATCCTCACCACGGATGCAGACAGCACTAGTGAGGACTGCAGATGAATGCCCACCTGGGATGTGTTAATCACTGTGCAGGAGGAAGGCTGTGGGCAGGACATGGTCCTTGCAGCGTTCAGCCACTTGTGCTCTTCAGCCTTTGCTCACTTCCCAGCTACTCGCTGAGCATCGCCCATGAACTGGTGACCTTCCTGCCCCAACTCCCCACCCAGGCCATGGTCAACACTGGGGCTGCAGCCACCAGGAGAAAAGGCTCAACACATCCATTCCAGCCCCAGGCAGGAGAAGTGAGAAAATCACACTTGTCTTTCCTTCCTCCCAGGCACCTGGGTGAGACAGGAGGATGTTTCTCCATGCGCTTCTTGCACTTCTGTGGCAGGGACACTGTCCCTAGACAAGCAGGCAATGACCAGAGGCAACCGGAGCCTTCGCAGTGAGGGACAGAGCTCTCCTGGGGACTAGAGCCACTCTCCTGCTCTCCATGCGTGTAGCCTCATCCTTGGGTCTCTCTTGGAAGACATGCTACCAAATCCATGCGGGAACATGTAATATGATGGCATATTACATGACCGGAACAGTGCTAGGGCAGTTTCCCAGTTATGCATGCAGGTTTCAGTTTTTGTTAAAACTGTGTGCAAGAGTTGAGACCTTCCTCTTGTTACCATGAAGAGGCTTTTAGGGGAAGGACAGAGTTCCTTTCCTCGTGCACTTCCAAAATCAATAAAAAATAATTAGCCCCCCCCCCGACACTTCTTCCAACCCAACAGCAAAACAATGACATTCTCCTTCATTTCGTATGAAGTGAAAAATGGGATGAACATCTTTAACAGTTTTATTCATGACTGTAGGCTTAGGTCTGAGACTGTACTGAAGTAACACAGGTGTGAATGAATAACACGCTGAGCAGATGCTGATCTACCTATTCTGCACTATTCCAGCTTGCTAAACAGTTCTCTTCTCCAACAACACAGAAAGCAATAGAAACACAAGCAACCCGAGAGACCCATGAGAGGTACGTGCAGGTAGTGGACTGCAAAGCTTCCCCCCGCCCTGCTATCAGCCAACGCTATGCACTACGCTAAAGGAGAAGCACCACAAGGGAAGGGCACCACACGTGTTCGTGGCTGCCCACCTTGCTCAGCCCTGGAACGTGTCTTTTTGCAATCTGTCCACTTCTAAGAGACTAATAACTCCATACTAATACTGTACTACTCAATACTAACACCAGACTGGAATCTGCAATCTAGAAACACACATTCCTGTCTTATCCTCCATTTTCTTTCTGCAATTAACAGTCTCTGTGGTTGTCCTGAAATGATATAAGCAGTGAGATGTCGTGAATTTTTAGAGGTCCGTGGATTGTATCCCAATGAGCTATACATAGAGCACAAGCTGCCTTTGCACCCGATTTAATAGAAATTGAGAAGAGGTGGACCAGGATGGGGATTTACCCATCCTCTCCATATCGAGCCTTTCAGCGCTGCTTTAGGGCCATTTTAATCAGTCACAGATGGAACCTGACAGCTGGCATGGCTGTAAATCCAGGTGATTGAGCTAATACTCATGGAGTTATATGACTGATTTAATGGCACAGAATAACTATTATATATTTAAAAGAAAAAATTTTCAATTCACACTAGAGACACTTTGATCCAGATGAAGCAGACACTGCCAACACAGCTTTTACTGGTTTTCTTTTTAGGTTTTAGCATTACTGAAGATCTAGCCCATGTTTGGCTTTGTGTCCTTACTTTCAAATCACCAGCTCCCAGCAAGCACCGATCCCTGCCACGGCCACTGCCCCCATCTCCCTGCCACCACAGCCTCCACCTGAGCCAGCCAAACCGGAGCTCACCTACTCCCCAGGCAGCTTGGTCTGATCCTTAGCAATGCCCTGGCTGCAAAACAATTTGTTCAGCCTCTAGAGGAAGACAGTCAGTGGCAGGAGGGAAGTAGAAGGGGAAATGGGTTACTGGGAAGGAGATACCACCCAGCTTGTCCAGCCAGCCTGTCCCCATGGCTGACGGACACCCAGTACATGCCCATCACCTTGGCTGCACCTACAGCTCCCTCCACCCTCTCCCTTTTGGAAAGCCGAGAATATCAATCAGGTTCCTCCATATTGCCCAGCCATTTGGAGTTTAACTGGATGAGGAAAGCAGGGCAGAAGGGGATGAGAGGTAGGAGCTGAGGAAAGCAGAGGTGAGAGGAGAGAGAATAGTGAAGGTGAGATGGTTAAGGGGCTCGTGGGTGGGACAGGAAGGGAAAAAAAAGGGGGGGACATAGGAGGTATGGACACCTTGGCCCAGAAGTATACTCAGTTCTCAATCATTTACGGCCACATTTCTGGTTTGAAGGTTAACACACATGCAGCCCAGCTTAGCAGCACAGCCACCGGCAGGTAGCAACTGAACTACTGAACCTCAACACTCCTCACCTGGGTTCAAGCAGAACGACAGAATATTTCTGCACAGTGCCTTCCAGTGCTCCTGATTATCGCTGACCTAAACAGCTTTTCATTACGCAGTCGTGCATTTGCGCTAAATAACAACTGTAATGATAAGGCCTCCTGGAAGGGAAGTCCAAGGAAAGAACAGAGGCACTTGTTGGCTCTGAAGGAGCTAGTTCAGGTCTCATAGGGCTGGGTCCAACCTTGAAGCAATAACCTCTGTGGATTTTATATTTCTAAGAAGGTTAAACAGACCTACTGGGGAGTAGTGAATAGGTGGGGCAGAGCAAATCCTTCCTCCTGGGTCTATGAGAGAAGAAGCTGTTTTTCCCTGGCACGGGCAGGTGTGTGGATGACTGCACTGAGAGCTTGGAGGTGAAGGGCAGACAGCTCCAGTCATAAAAAATTCCTTCTGCCTGAATGAAGGACGCTAAGAAGGGTGGATATTTTTTTTTCCCCCTTTCAGGCCCCTAAGCAAATAAAGAGTGTGAGCCGATTAAATGTTAACAGGATTTATGATCTAAATCCAATAGAAAAATTCTGAAAAATCATACTTGTTTCTTGTCACAGTAAGGCTTCTGCTATAGCAGAAATCTTTTTCAACAGACTGGTACTCTGAACTAGAGTGTTGCAAATTGCATTTTAATTGAATGGATCTTCTGCAACTATTTCAGCCTGTCAAATAAAACCTTAAGAATAGGTTTTGGTATTTTTCAGAGCGCCCTCTGCCAATATTGTTTTTTACACCACCCTAGTACAAAGCCAGATGTCCCACGAAATAAAAGGTCCAGATGGAATTAGGATTCAGTCAAAAGGTATATGCAAGCACACATTTGACCAGAATATTTCTCACAACAAAAAGAGAATGCTATGGAAGGACAAGATCTTAGGTGACTGCAGGATAACAGCTCCAAAATTCAGAAGAGCTACAGAAGAGCAAGCAGGATAAAGACAGACAGCAAACAGAGGCCCAGTGACTTAAAAAATAAAGAACTCTGCAAGAAAAAAAAACAAAAAAACAATTGCATTAGGTCAGTTCTGGTTGCATTAGGCCAGTTGTGTTCATTTCTGGGGCAGTTTGCTGCTCATTTATTTAAAACATAAAAAATATTTTAAAAGAGCTTTGTGTGGCCTTTCTTCCTTTAATAAATAAAAGATCCTTTAAAAAATTAATAGTTCTTTAAAACGGAAGCTTCTTGTTTGTGCAGCTCCTGCCAGCAGCTCTGATTTCATGTAACATGGACCTCAGAGTCACATCATCAAATATTCAGAGCAGGGTGGAGTCACCGCCTGCTGCGACTGCCTGAAATCCCCAAGGCAGAAAGTGAATTCCTCCACCAAGGAGTAAACGAGGCCACGAGACTCTGCCCAAGCACAAAGCCACCCTCTTCCATGGTCTCAATGATCTGGTTTCCTAGACAGAGGGAAGAAACCAGTACCCCATTTCCTGGAGCACAAAGACCTTTCCTTCCGTCCTTCTCATTGCACCTCTGGGTTATCTGCTGCGAGGAGCCCACCCGAGCTCCCGCCCTGTGACAATGAAACTCTGACTCCTCCTGCATCCCCAAAGCAAAGCTGCTCTGTACCACACCGACAACAAAACGGCCACCTCCTTGCAGATGGTCAAATGCAACATTTGCTACCTCCTTCTTTCCAAATTGCTCCTGCCAACCTTTAGATAACCTCTCCACACTCTGTTTTCATCTCAAAGACTTTTCTCCACTCTCAGAGGCTGACAGCCTGAATCCAGGCTGGGTCACGTTGCCCAGACTGCACAAAACTATGCCTGAAACTTCCAGAGCTGCTGTTTTAACAAGCAATCCTCTGAATGAGAATAAAACTGTTTCTTTAAACCTAGTGATTAAGGTTGTCATGAATTGCAACTCACACAATAACTACGTACCCACTAAAGCACCCCCTCAAATTTTTTTGGTACAAACATATCTGCTTAGCATAGTTTCTGACTGGTCAAGACTCTCTGGTCTACTTGGCTTTCTAGTCTGCTTCTGTCCTCTGCTTAAAGAAAATTAGGATGAATGAGGACTGTTAAGGACAATACATTTCACTGATTGATGAGCAATAAAGAGACAAAGGAGTCAATGCAATGGGTGTAACATGGTTTGCTTCCACAGCGGAAAGTGTGTGAGCACACGTTTGACAGGCATCACAGTGCAGCAAGAGACAGGAATAACATATTACCCCATGAAACTCCTAGAGAGAGATTCCAGCAAGAAGAAGACAAAGAAAGAGCAGAGTCAATGACAAACAGAAACATAAGGCCATACAGCGCACCCCATGCACATACAGGTATGTGCTGGCAGATCACCCCATCCCCTGTCCCACACCCACCAAGTCAATATTCATAAAAATAAACAAGCAAGAACGAAACACACTGGCTACAGAGCATCTACCCACACATCCCCCCACGGCGCATCAGCCCTTCCGCCGACAAGCAGGAAGGGCAAACACACGTTCACTCTCCTGGTGCTTTGGAATGTAATAACTTTGATTGCTTGGCAAATAGGGTGAAATTCTGTGCATCTCATCCACCTTTCTGTTGTTGAAAATGTAAAAATGCAATCTCTGCTGCTATTCATCAGCTACTTCTATTGAATGAGTAGATTTTACACCTGGGGCTGGCAAATTTTGAGGACAAATTTACTATCCTGCTTTAAGCTGCTCTACTTCTATTTCCCTAAAGACTAAAACATGTCTGTATGTTTGTGGCGTGTTTACCTCTAGAAAAAGAAAGGAATTTCCCTTTGAAATACACTGCTAAATGGAAAACATTATTTTATTATCGTCATCATCAGTATTACTAGTATTGCTAGCATCTCACTGAGGCCTTGCTTTAATTTTGTTGGTTGGTTTTTTTTTAACCACTGCCCAGTGCAGAATAGCTTCTAAAGAGCTACAGGCAGAACGTAGACTGACAGTGGGTTCGAGAGACGGAGATGGATTTTATGTACCTTGCAGCAATGAATGATACCATCTCATATGCCTAAACAAACACAGACTGTTGCCATATTCCAGATGGAAGCATTTCAGGGAGCTCTGTTTTTGCCAGGTTTTCAGCGATATGTCTATTCAGGAAGAAGCTGATTCACATCTCCTTCACTGGACACCAACGAGGTCAAGAACATGCATGAATTAAATCACACCCACTGAGTGGCAATTGCGTATTCTTGCAAACAGAAACTAGTTTAACAGCCACATTAAATACATTTTTACACTGATACTGATGATGAGTGACAGGACTGCAGTGTCTGCTAGAAAAAGCCCGCTAATAAAACAATGAAGATTACCCAGTTTACTCTCCAAAAGCTCATTTTCAGGATTATCAAAATTCAGCAGGCTCGGTGTGCCTATCTGGTTTAACCAAACAACGCAGTTGAGCTAAGGACATGACTATCTACCCAACTTTCATCGGCACAGTCTGAGACTCGTTAGTATTCACAGCTGGACTAGCAGGAACAGAGAGCAAGTCAGCTCCCACGAACAACTTGATTTCCTGCTCTCAGGTTAGACTAGAGATACTGCCAGTATTCTCTGAATTGGATGGCAGCTCTCACTGCCAGCTGAAACATGGGCATGCATCAGAGATTACAGTCATAACAAAAATCAGAGAAGAAATTAAAATTTTTCCAAGTCTCAGAAACAGGTTTGCCTTGCTTTAATCTGGGAGACATTAAATAGGCAGGCAGGTTTTATGCATTCACTTTCTGTAAAACCCTGCTCAATACTTGCTCAAAGAGCATGTAAAATAGAAGCAGCTTGGGGCACACTATTACGAAGCACAGGCAGGGGATGTACAAGTAATTTATTTAGAGGCTGATGAAGTGCTGTTAGATATCCACGGCCCAATGCAAGCAATAGAAAACCTGAGCACAAAAGGACTCAGAAGGATTAAAAATTATTCATTTTAATCCATAACTTGTCCAAAGAGATGATGTTTTAAAGGCAAACCCTGATGTTTGTTCTCACAGTACATGGAGTTGCTCTGAAGGGCTCACAAAATGTCCCTTCTCCCAGTCTGCCTTGAAAGTTTAAATTCTTAATGGAAAAGGGAAATTCTCAGTGAACACAGATTTGGGGAATATTGTTTTGCAAACTAATACTTGTGACTAATATTATTTTACTTTTATATCCCTCCTCAATTCAGAGGAGTTCTGTTGACTTGCTAAACTTTTTTTCAGTAAGCTTTTGCTTAACTCAATCTGACCACGTTCAGTTCTGAAAAATGGTATGCTAATATATTTCATGGGCTGGGAAACTAAGCCACACACGTCTAGTCAAGCTTAAAAAGCAGTCTGGTTTTGGATGTCAAATTTTAGGTAGGCAAGACATTCACGAGACCAGGCCAGCTATTCCACCTCAACACAGCCTTGCTTACAACAGCGCACTTAGCTCCTCTGAAAAACAAATTTCTAATGAATAGTGACAAAATCTTTAAATACAGGAGAGCAGCATCCCTTTGAAAAACTTTTAGTGGAGGTGACTTGGTCCAAGATATAAACAATTCTTTGGTGTAGGATTGGGCACAGAAAGCCCAGACCCCAATATCCCCAAGTGCCACTCCTCAACTGGCTCAAAAGCCATGCCAACAATATCAATCCCATCTCCTTCTGCCCATCCGCTCCTTGGTCAAATTAGTTTAAGACTTTTTTAATCCAGCATTTGCTGTGAAGAATAGAAGATCTAAAATACAAAGCTCACAGCCTTAACATGAAAGGAATTTTGACACTTCAGAAAACTAAAAACTCCTGAGAAATAATCCAGGCCAACCTTACGAGAAAGGTCACAGCAATTTTTTCGGCTGCGAGAGACATGACAGTATTTTCCATCAGCAGAGCGCATAGGAGGAGCAAGAGCTACGGCTGTTTGCCTAAAAATTACTGTCAGTCTAAAATAGACAAGACACACTTCTGCAGTTCCTTGACAAAGGTGAACGATTTTCTTATTACCAAGTAAAACACTGCTAATTTCCTCGCCTTCTCTAATCATCATGTCAACAAAAGGTGAGTGGAGTTTGGGCACGGGCTGTGCTCAAGGCTAATATAGGAGAAGATTAAACTGGTCAAGCCCTGTAGCATGTTTCCAGGTCATCTCCTAGAATTTCTCAGGAAAAAATTTGCAATGCAATTATTCAGCAGCCCAGAACTACACGTGGCAAATTTCTTTCCATCATCCAACCTTGAGCTCCCCAAGTTCTGAAGAACCTGCATTGCTCTTCCTCTGGTCTCTTCAGAGGAAAAATGCGAGAACTAAAAGCTAATCTTCATTTTCAAAATGCAGCTCCTCTGTGTCTGTTGCTCAAAATCCTCCGTGACATTAAAGAAGCACATGGAACATTATTTAATGTCGTAAACAGAGAACAATGATTGAGGGAGGGAGCAATTAGCCTTAGAATTGAAACTCTCTGGAAATGCAAGTACCCTGAACGAGCGAGGAGAAGAAGAAATACCACAGGTATACGAACAAGAAACATCCATGACTCTAGAAATAATGTTTTGCAAAGGGTTCACTGAGTTCTCAGCTGATTTCATTAACTATTTTTTCATAGTGAGAACAATTTTTAAAACAATTGCCTGAAGACAGAAGACTGCCACAAACTGTTATAATGTGTTCTTGAAAAGGAGTTGGTCAGAGGGTCACAAAAATCTTCATTCAATATTTGAATGAGCAGTGAACGGATTCACCCCTAAAGCTGGGAGAATTTTCAAAAGATTCTGCAATACAAATTTAGGGATTTTTTTTTTCCTCCCTCCAGTTACAAGATGATAAAGGGCAGACACCAAACATTTCACTGAGAAATTGAGCTACAAACACTACACTACCACTAGCTCTGTGTCAGGGTCCTGCATCCTCCTCTGCAAGTGATTTCCTAGAAATTGGAATGTTCAGGAAAATGTACTTACGAGAAGGCAAATGCCACCAAGGCACCACTGACCACAATGAAGTCCAGGATATTCCACAGGTCACGGAAGTAGGAGCCAGGGTGCAGTAACAGCCCCAAGTCAATCATCTTCAGAGAAACACATGAAAAGAAAGAGTTTTAACAAAACAAGTACCAAATCAACTCTACCGAGGTACGGAGAAATGGCATTGATCGAATGACCCTTCACAAACTCTTCCTCAGGGCTTTGCAGCAGCAGGGTGATGTTTAGTCAAGCTGCCCATCTCTTATAGGCACAGAGAGCTCTGTCAAAGCCAAAGCTGAAGTCAATAAACCGTAACCAAATGCATGAGAGACAAGAGTACTGACTGCTACATCGGCTCCTTTGCACAGATGTGCATTAATTTACGGGAACAGTCTGTGCATGAAATGTCAAAATAGTTTAACTTTATTCTACCTTAATCTACCAGATTAGTAGGCATTAACAACGGGCATAGGATATTATACAATAAAACACAGAGGGAGGATGTGAAGACCCATAGTGAAATGCAGCAGTCAAAGAAATACGCTCGCTCCGGAGCACTTGCTGAAAGATGCTGCTCAGCGTAGCAGCCTGGCTTGCTTCTGCACGCGACTGAGTCTCTCCTTGCAGTGCTGCTAAAAGTCTTCTAGAGCTAAGTCTGAAAAGTGCATGCTAGACATTTTATCTGCCTTTCTGAGAGCTCTACAACTGCCATGTAAGGTTGCTTTCCTCACATCATAGCTTCATATCCTTCTACTGAACAAACAAATCCATTTTTCATTCTGCATTGCTTTTGTGTCTTGCTCTGATGGTAAAAACCAGCTCCATCACTACCCCAAGAATAAATCCTGACTTTATTAGAATTGTGGTTTCTGGAAAGCTACTGACCCACAGTCTTAGCAAAACCTATCACCCTACTGAGTAAAGTAAAAGATAAATCCTCAACTTTTTGAAAGATGACAAACCAAGATTTGGTTGCTATTAATATTCCTGAACAGCATCAAAGGAAAACAGAAGAATCAGACATATTTCAGCACCATCTATCAGCTCCTGTGTCCTTAGCCACGCACAGACAATTCTGCATCAGGCACCCACATTTCTTACCCTCTTACACAACTCCAGCTACTAAAGATATCCTTATTTTCCTCCACAAAGTGTGAGATTAAAGAAACTGGGAGAGCTGCTAGAGAAAGGCATCTGTTGTGCCCTGGCTACTTCCGAATGCGATTCCCGAGTTAGAGCCTTCCACCATCACCACCTCCCCGGGTGCCCCAGGCAGCTCAGCCACGCTCCACCCTCTCTCCCCAGCTTCCCAGGGGTAGAGGAGTATAAATCTGAAAGGGGAGGCAAACCTTTCCACTTGGAAAAGTTCTTACCTTAATCACCATCTCAAAGGTAAAGACACCTGTAAATATATAATCCAGGTATTTCAGAGCCTAAATGGGAAAGAGATAATAATATAATCTTACGTGTATGATTATACACAGTGAATAGATATTAAGTCCATATAAATATCACATGAAATCTGCATACTGCAACTATCTGCATTGATAAGTCCAAAATTAGGGAACTACATCTTGCAATTTCTATTAATCTTCAGTCCTGTAGACTCCCAGTTGTCCATGTAACAGGCCATAAGCAGCTCTGTCCCAGTCTCCTTGTGAATGTGCTTGAAAGCAGACACCCAGCTATCTGCTGAGCGAACGCTGCTGGGCTGCCTGCTCCCAGGTAGAAGGTGGCATGCTCCTACTTCTTCTCCTAACAGCACCCAAAGTCTCTGAGTTTGGTTTGACTTCCATGGATAAGCAGATTTTCTACTAATTCTAGGAGATTGTTACCATGCCCCACCATGATGACGAGCCCTATCTCATTTTAATTCCTAGGGCTCTGCCCTAGCAAGAGTGGGGGAATCTTAGGGCAATGTCAGCCCTGGGCTGTGGCTGGGGAAGCCTTCCCCACTGCTAAATGGTGTGAAAGCTTGTTAGGCTTCTTCCACGTAAGTGACACCAGCCAAACCACCGGTGATTTCCAGGTTCTCAGACTTGGATGTGGCTGAAGCAGCAGAAAGGGACTGGAATTGTGAACATTTTGGTAGTGGAACCAATTCGTTTGAGTATGCTATTAAAGAACACTCCAGTTTTGCACTTGCCAGTGCATGGCGCTGTCCTTTGGAGACGGGAACAGACATGCCATGTGCATAACTGCTGGGAGAAGCAGAACAACTTTATTCTGGTCGTGTTGGTTGGTACTCACATCGTTCCTCGGTGACTCGGCTTGGACGGGGTCTTCTGCAGCCAGGGCGATGCTGCTGAGGGCTATAACTATGAGGATGACCATCTCAAAATAGCGCAGGTTGACGATGTAGTGGAATAGACGCCGAATCCTGCAAACAGAAGCACATGGGAGGGCTATTGCAGGCGCTGCGAGTCAAGCGCAGTGGTGTGAAAGACTGGCAGAAGGACAACGTTCATCAGGAATATCACCTGTAGGATCCCTATTACAATCACAATAAGAAAATAAAAAACAGCATCAGTGGCTTCAAACTCCAGTTTGCAACAGACGTGGTGAGATTTAAAGCAAGACTTTTCACACTGCTCCTACCCCCTCCGCAAAGCAACAACTTTCTATCAAAAGGGCATTAAGCGCTTTCCAGCATTCAGACTCCATTCTACAAATTATGTTGATATACCCCCCACATCCTTTTCACTTTGAACTCACAGGCTGAAGTCCTGTGAGCTCAAAACTAGTTTTGAAATCCTTTTAATATCAACTAATCCCTTTAAAATTGAGATATATGCTCTGCACTTTGAGACTCTTAGCTGAAACTGGCTTGGTATCTATGCGTATTACCTCCAGCAATCTCTCTCGCCAAGGACCTCTGCCTGCACTTTATTCTATGATATACTTTAAAAGCTGCTCAAATACTTTCTAGTAATATATTTGACTACTTTAACCTAATCTTTTCTTTCACAAATAGTGTCTGAGAAAAGTGACAAATGCTTCAATTTCTAAGCAGTGAAAAACTATTTGCAAATTTCAGCTAGCAGCTCTGTCTGACCACAATTCACAAACACTTCACTGCAGAGAGATCTCCACATTTGCATTGTATTTGTCAGCTGAATAAAGGACTTTGGTTCTGCCTGAGAATCAAATTACGTGTGTAACTTGCCAACAATCTTGTTATCTGAGAGTGTAATTCAGTTACTATATCATATTTTCTCTAAGAAAATATCTGAACATTTAGAATTGAAATTTATTTTTCATATCTACTTATATATTCCTTTTCTCTGGATTGCTAATGGAATCAGAATGAGAGAGAGTTACAAATACCAAAGAAACAGATTTGATTTGAAATAAGATGAAGAAAAGTGCTTTTGTGGGTCCCGTAACTCTGGTTATCAATCCGACAGAAGAGGATTAGCATCTTTGTGCTCTATGAATCCGTAGAAGTGAAAGGCAACATTTTCAATAACATTTGCAACTGCAATTCATGCATCAAACTCGATTCATCAAAGAAGTAACAAGTCCCTATTTTTCGATCTTCATCATTCATAACCAGCAGTGAGATGAGGGAGCATCTGCACACTGCCAGTGGCGCTCCAGAAATCATTTTGAATGCACGTCTGCTTTATGAGAGTGGGCGGTACCTGGAAAGTAACTCATTTCATTTCTGCTTTTCAGAACGGTTTTACCCACCAGCAGCAGCACCCGTGTCACATCCCCAGCGGGGCTTGGAAGGGAGACAGTTAGCAAGAGATGCAGTGAAAACCTTCATGCCCCAGAAAGCCCTCTCGAAGTCAGCACCAGTCAAAGCACCGGAGGAGACCCAGCTGGGCCTGCATCTTGCCCAGAGGAAGAAAAACAAGTCGCTGACATTCCTAGAGTTTGGTCTTTGTCTTGTCATTTCCCCTTGTCCCAGCGTTATAATACTTTTCTCCCAGTGAACTTTGTTCTTTCAATGGTCTTTTAGTACAGCTTTTGGGGGAGGGGGAGGTGTGTGCGCTGGAAAAAACGGCAAGATGACTGAAACAATGCACCAAATCCTGGAATACGAAGCTGAGAATGTCACAACCGTAGGGTGAGGTGAGAGAATACAGCGTATGTATGAAACAACAAGTCGTGCTGCTTCTCTGCCCAGCCCGCTCCTCAGCTCTGACCCTTTTTGGCTTGGGACCACCTAGCTTCCCACTCCGCGCTGCTGCCTTCGGCATTTTGCAGCTAACGCTCATTTTTGGTGGTCACTCCATAACAAAAAGACTTGAGCTACCAAATATTAAGGAAATACAACCAGACAGGGGCCAAACTCCATAATTCAAATTTGGCCCAGAAACTATATTTTCCTTATTTGAAACAGCACAACGCTATCACGGTATTTTGAAAAGGGGAAACTTTCTGGGCTTTTGGCTCAGTCTTCCTCAAGTGTCCAGAGGTCTATCTGGCAGGCGGCTGGAGAAGGCAAAAGGGAAGCGCAAGTGCCTCTCTTGTGGGTTTGGGACAGAAAGGGCACGTATGGAGTCTTCAGTTCGTTTCCTTCAGAGGTGAGATCAGATTAGCAGTAATCTGTGGTCATTCTCCCTCTCCAACAGCTGGCATTCAGAGATAGTCTCTAACTTCTCCCTCTGATGCATTTCTTCTGTCCTCACAGCTATATCATCTTGGAGCATGCAGGGATGTAGCCTGAACTACACAGCTGGATCTCACATTTAAAGAAAGTATTCAGCCTGCCTACTGTCCAGGGCTACCAGATCACGGCTTCCAGCCAGACGCATCTCTGATGTCAAGGACAAGTGCACGGAGCAGCCCATTTGGATCCACTGACTGCACAGGCAGCCAGGATGTCACAGTCCTGAGTAGCAGGAGGTCTAGGAGCACTCCTTCTTCTCTTGAATTGACTTGTCAAAGACAGGGTCTGAGTCCATCTCAGGTATCTGAGCATGCAGAGTGTAACCTCAGAGTGCAAGATCTAGGATCGGCAAAAGCCCTCCGTTGTCCTAAGTTACTGCTTAAAATTACTCACAGGCCTTCATGCTACAATTACTACAACCCCTGCTGCTCTTGCTCTTGTCTAGTGCCGCAGCCCTTCAGAGTGACACTTTCAGTATTTATGGGCTTGGAGTACAAAGCTCCCCAGGAGGCAGAGATGCCTGAAGCAGAAGAAATGCTGTAATCCCAACAGATCCCACAAGCTGTACTCTCAGCCTTGGCAAATAAAAAATGTTCAGGTTTTCCCAGAAGTTCAAAGTTCTCAGTGATGTGAGGGTACTAGTATGGAAAGAGCACAAATTCCAGCTGAGGAACCTGTGAGAATTTGCTGACATCAAAATCAGTCCCCAAATGGCTTCTCTTGGTAACATCTTCTCTCAGCAACAGTCCATAATGCTACCCTTTGGTGATCTACGACTGAGTAGATAACTGCCCACCTGACCATCAGCAGGGCAGTTAGGAAGGGTCTGCCTAAAGCACCATCTTTTCTCTATCCTGACAATTTATTCCCCCAGGAGAGCCCAGCTGAAAGGCAGCATCTGGTCCACAGCCTGTATAGCTTTCATTTAATTTCCCAATGTGTTCGACTGGCAGAGATGAAGATCAAGCTAATGTCATCGCTTTGAATAGCCATGCTTGAAGTACCCATAACCCATAAGTGGTATTATAGAGTCAGAGGACTTACGGATTTGTAGGACTTAGGATAAACATGGAACTGTAAGGCAAGATTGGTTTAGGCCCGTTTTTCGTCAAGTCATCGACGTCTTTCTTCTCCTCTGTTTTACTTTCAAATTCAACATTGTTCACTGAAATGCAAATTTAAGGAAATAGAAACGAGAGAGTTAAAAATGTATCTGCAGACTTCGCACAGCAGGCTGCCTGCAACAGCTGGATATGCAAACAACGCAGCTGGGACAGCAAACAGCCTTTGAATATGTTGATTAAATGTGATGAACAATCATTTGATTATTATCTCTGCTATTTACTACAGTATGATATACACTGCAATTATACTCAACTGCTGCACTGATGAGCAATATATCAGAAATGGCCAGGAAATGAAGATCTTCAGTCCAGACAAACAAAGAAACCGTACACTTCTTTATACAAGAGCTGCCAAACTGGGGATGGAAATCCCATTCCAAAATATGATAAATCATTAGGGAGAGACGATTAGCTAGGGATCCTTGGAAAGCAAAAAAGATGGTGAGTCTAACCAAGTGCATAATGCTGTATCTTTTCCCGCAGATCAGTAGCAGGATTATCTCTGGAACGTGTAAATTAGCAAATTCATAGATGAGGTTTAATAATTTGGGGACTAAGGCTGGTGAACTTCCCCACATTAGGAACACTGGAAAGGACTTCTTGGACCCCCTAGGTCTGTGCCTGCATAGTGCACCCCAGTTTTGGCAGAGTTCCCCACATATAAAGGCGTCAAGCTCCATCTCACATCAGGTTTTTAACTGGCATCATCCCCTTCTAGAAGACTGCTTTGAACCTCACTCCCAAAGGTTAGAAATACATTCTCTAATTTCAATCATAAGTTTACTTGCAGTGGGTTTATAGGATAATTTACTTCAAACAATTTCCAATATATGAACTGGAAAAGATTTTATGCTGCAAATTCCCTTCTTAGACAGATATATACACTTGTCTATTAATTCACAGCACCTAGAATCCAAAAACTTCACCCACTTATAATGTGTTAGGTGCCAATTTTTTATTACTTTTTATTTTGCGACAAAATGACATTTCATTGTGTGTGAGTGACATGTCCAATAAACTCCTTACTGTGTCTCAAGCCAGATACACAGGAAATGGCCAGGAAAGAGAGATGCTGATAAATTGTGATTGACGGAAACTCAGTATTTCAATACAGTAAAATTACCATTAAAGATGCTGGCAAAGATTTCTGCTTGGAAAGCAGAGTCCTGACAGCCTGTGACCTAATGCAGACCTCTTGGATTTCATACTGCACCTCTCCTTAGCACTCCCAGCTCTCAGGACTTCTCTAGGCTGTGCCTATGCTACCAGGGATGAGCCACAAGCTGGTCAGAACTGGCTGGTGGCTGGGTGGGTGCCGAGCAGAGCATGGGCACAACGATCTTGGGACTGTCTGCCAAACAGCATAAATCTACGCTGGTAGACGCAAGGCACAGGGCTCTGGAGAAGGACAAGCTAGGGTGGATCTGCTGAAACTGAGACACAGAAGATTGCAAGAAGCTCTAAAATTACACAGCCTGCAGGAACCCAAAGCAGCAGGGTCAGCTGAAGAATGCTGTGATAGCTGTGCAGCCATGAAAGACCTGCTTCTTCAGTGGGGTCAGCTAACAAGCCAAGAAGCATGAATTTGGTCTATGGGCTTGAATGCAATGCCACTGCCTCCCCTGTCCTTTGCTGAGGGGTCTGTGGCCAGTCAGGTCCCTGGGACACCAGAGGGACCGTGACACAGCACTGCTGGAGTAGGAGCTTGCAGCATGGCGGCAGAAGAAGGTGATAAAGCAGAGGATTTACTCCTGTGCTCACAACAAGGTCCTGACTGGTTTGCTGCAGAAGTTGCTTATTTTGTTGCACAGCTCTCAGTTACTATATTTTGTGGTTTTTCTTGCCCCTTCATCTTTTATGCAAAGATACATGGATGTGCTCTGGGTGAGCCATCCCTGGGGAACCTTATGGAGTGTTTTCCAGAGCCAACATATGACCCAGGTGGCCCAGGAACCCCTTTTGGGTTCCTGTAGGCTGCATGAATCGCAGAGCCTATAACAACAAGAAGTTCTCCTGTCCTTCTATTGCAAGGATGCTGGTGGCCAGGAAAGTCCCCATCACTCAGCGTGTGCTGCTAGCTCCTTGGAAAGCTAGCTCTTTTCTGGCAATTTCCTAGCAAAAACCATGGGGACAAAGGCACTCACTTGGTATGACAGTGGTTTCCCCCGGTGGGGCAGTGATGGTGACAGGGATGTTCACAGTGGTGGTTTTGTCCAGAGGCGGCTGAATCATCCGCGTCACGTTCTTCTGGTTGTCGGCATCTTCCGGCTGCTCCGGGACTTTCTGTAGATAGGTGCTGGGAAGGGTGTGCACAGGGACACTCACGCTTCCACTAGCCTCTATCTCACACTGGTTCTCCCTAAGGCAGAGAAGCAGAATTTATTAAATATGGCCCAAGAAGGATTCAGAGAATATATGCACCCTGATGCTGCACCTCTTGCTAAGTTTCACAGACTGCTTTCTTCATGGAAGTCCTTTGCAGAAAAGTCACAGACTGCAGGACATCTTACTGATAGCACAATATGTGACCTTTTCCTCTGAGACCTTCTGAACCAACATCCAAGCACAACATTAAGAGGAACCGCGCCACTGAACGTCACTTCATTCAATTTGATGAGACTCCGAACTGATGTTCATAAGCAAGGACCACATGGTGCTTGCATGTAACAGTGACATTAGCTTTCTAACATCAGCTGGTTTCTGAATGAAGTCTGACATTCTGCTTTTTAATGTTCTCCTGAGGCCTTATTTAAATTTGGCGATTCTCTTTTTCAGCCCTAAACCACTCCGTAATGTTGCTGTCAGCAGCTAAATAGCTCCTGCATTCCTCTGCAGCAGTGGCTATATTTCAGTGAGGAGGAAAGTGAGCTTGTGCACATGATCAAACTAAGCAGTATGCAATATGTTTTGAAATCCATCTGAAAGGAAGATAATATAGACAGGAAAATTATCATCTCAGTGCCACTCACAGCCCTCCACGGTGACATGAACTCTATTCTAAAGAATCACAGTGAAATTTCTTTTAGATCAGACTAATAAAACTGAAAATGCAATCTATCGTTCTTTATTAACTACCCTAAATGCTTCACGAGTACTATTTTTCTCACTTGACTTACATAAGAATTAAAGCAAATGGGGTACATCATTGGTCTTAATGGAAGCAGCCACGTGCTGTAACAACTGGTGATGCAGCTGACAGGCTCTCCATAAAAAAAGAGAAAACGAAAGGCTATAAGCAAGACCGGATGCCATTTAAAAATACGTCCCCCAGAAACTTCCTTCAGAGACTGTGAAACTTGCTATTCCACATTATATCCTAGAGGGTCTGTTGGTACCTACACGAAGGAGATCTCCTTCCTTAAACCTGAGCTATTCTATGGGCTGTCATGGACTGAAATAATCTTTGGGAGCCTCTATCATTGCTGATTTAAGCAGAACAGGCTGCAGGTTATGGTGGTAGCTGGTGTGAGCGCAAGAACAACAGCAGGGAACACCATGGAGAGGGGAATAAGGAATTTCCAGAAACATGCCTAAGGTCTCGTGCCCCCCGAGCTGTCCCAGGGATGCGTCTGGCCACGCAGTGCTCACTTACTTGGGCTGATGATTCCGGTGCTCCTTCTCACCAGCCTCCCCCTCCTTCTCCCCGTTCTCCTTCTCCACCGAGTCGTACGTCGACAGTGCCCGGTTCCTGAACCTGTGCCGTCTGTGAGGCTCTTCTCCATTCTCGCCCTTGGACCCAGGCTCTCCTTCCCTGTTCCCAGACCTCGACCCTCCCCGGTGTCGGGAACGCCGCTCGCTCCTGGCCCCGTTGATTGTCCCGTTGCCTTCCTTGCCTTGCCGTTCGGCAGAGTGCCGGTGAGTCCGATGCCTACGGTGCTCCTTCTCGGCACCTTCTTCCACTGACCCTCGGCGATGGTGCCTCTTTCCCCCTTCCTGGCCCCTGCTGCGATCACTTTTCCCTTCCTTACTCCCCCCTTCCACCTCCTTGCTGCGGCTTCTGTGCTGCCTGTGCCGCTCCTCCTTATTGTTGGCACCTGATTCCCCATTCTCCTCCTTGGTCACATCACCCTTCTCTTGGTCTCCCAGTTTGTCCTTATCCCGATGCCGGTGGTGCTTTCGTGGAGCTTCTGCCCCATCAGCAGAGCTGACTTTGGTCTGCTCCACCTCCTGCACGTCCACAGGGCTCAGCTTGCTGATGTTGTTCCTCCCTTCGCCCCTCGGCTCGACCACCAGTGGCCGATCCAAATGAGTCTTCATGTCGGGCCTGATGTGAAGGGTGGTCGCGTAACGCACCCGCTCCTCCGGATCCAGCTCATTGTACAGTGCCTCGCAGCTGGCTCGGAAGTTGTGCATCCGGATCTGGCTGGTCCTCTGCTCCCAAACAGACTTGGATTTGGAGGAGTTCTGCTGCTTGCTAAGGAGGGGAGGAAGGCGAAAAGTTAGTATCTAACTTCCCACCAATTCCCTAAAATGCAACAAAAATAAACAAATAAAAGAAGAAATTTTCAGCTGAGACAGGGGGTTAGAGGGTTGAGCCAAAGAAATTATAGGAATGGAGAGAGAATGGCTGGGGGGGGAAAAAAGAAATTATAGGAATGGAGAGAGAATGGCTGGCGGAGAACATGAGCAGGGAAAGCCAGCAGCATCATCAGTGTTAGTTTGCCCCCATATGCGTTAGACGCTGTGAAACGTGCCCTCTGGGAAGGAGTTATCTTGATTTCTAAAATGTGGTCATCCCCCTTGGAAGCCTCAGGTATAGTCTGAAGGGTTAAAGTCTCTGCACACAAAAATCACATAGTACAGCCAGAGCTTTCAAACAGTCCGCAAGTCTTCCCCACAATTAACAGCACCTTTCTCCCCACCTGAAAACATCTGGATGAGCAGATTAGCAGCAAGTAAGAGAAGTTAGATTGGCAGGAGGAGCAAGGGGAAAATAAACCTGCCCCGAAGGATCTGAGCCTGAGCACCCTGCCACCAGCCCCTTCCCATGACAGCCAGCCAGAGGGGACGCCTTCCAGACTGCACTGCCCCATTGGCTAACGGCACAGCAGAGCCGTTCCTCTGAACCTACAGTATCTTTCTGAGGTTCAGCCCAAGCATCGTCGGTGTCTGGAAAAGTACAAGAATGGAAAACTGTTCCGTGTACCGTGAAAAGACTCCAGAGACCGGCAGAGTCCCACGTAGCTGCAGATGTGATGACAGCACCTTTATCCCCTAGAGACCTGCTCTTTTCTCTGTCATCTGCTGTGATGAAGAAACCTCCACTGGCACTGCCTTAATGCTTTGACTGTGCAGCATGGCACCCGGTTTCTGACCACCACATGCGAATGGGTCACCCACCTTTCCAATGCAAGAAGGAAGGTTTGCTTGCTTTCTTCTTAAAGATTGCAAGTCAAATTCCGCTTTTGCATAAAAGCAAAGTAAACCCCCTGACTTCCAGGGTGGAGTTCTGGACTTGGCCTGGTGGAGGGTCAGCTCCCATTTTCTGCCTGAATGTAACTTCTTCTAACAAAGAGAGGAAAGCCATTTTCCTTCTGCCAGCCTGCTCAGATGTCTCCATTTGCCACCCATCAGCGCAGCCTCTACGGCTGGAGGGGCTGTGCGGGGCTCACTGGCCTCCAGCACTTCACGTGCAGCCACAAGGCTGTGGAAATAAGGAGGCAGATGCATTTTCCTTACGCACTTTCTGGGCTCCCCTGACAATGGAAGAACGCGGCTGTTGTGTGTGTATGTGCTGATGTGGACTGTCAGGGTCTGTCGCCGTGCACGGACCCTGGGGGGGGCAGCATTCAGACGGGCTCCTGCAGCACAGCGGGAGCAGTCGGAAAGGCTTTGCATCTGACAGCTCTGCTGGGGGATCGGTTCTTTACTGAGGGTGCTGCTGCCTGGGTCTGCTAAAGAGGCAAAAACCTACTTAAACGCTCACTGCAGATGGGATGAGGGCACCCAGGCAGATGTGAAGAAATCCAAATTAATCCAGAAGTCAGAGTGAGTAGAGCTAACCGCCAAAGCTAAAAGTCTACATCCTCTATTCCCAAGAGGCACATTCTGGGCTAATTTCCAGCAACTGCGTGCCCCATTTACACTGCAGCAGAAGGACAAGTGACAAAAATCACAGTCCTAAACATAAATGATAACAGAAGTTACTGGGGACATAGCTGAGAGCCCCACTCACCAAAAATCGCACATCAAAGGCAGAGCAGGCGGCTCATCAGCGGAGAACCCCCCTCAAGCTGTCCTGGTACAAGGATGAACAGCCTCATCAGAGCAGGCAATAACTTGCCATTTCTTTTTGGTTCAACATTATGAAAGATTGAGTTACTATCACTCATCAGCAGATTTCCTGGCTTTGGAAAGAATTAATGAGTAACACGCAAAGCCTCCAATTGCCCAGACCTGCTGCCCCATACAAGGATTTCCCATGAGAAGCCACGTGCTCTGCGTTCGCAGCTCTCCACAGTCAGCAGAGATGGGCACAGGGAGATGGAGCTGCCTGGGACGGGAGTCCCGGGATGTCCTGCGTATCCTCCAGGATGGACGGGGTGCCAGGCTCGGCAGCGCTCCAGATCGAGCTCTGCTAAACTGAGCTGGGCTACAAAATGAACCTCCTCTTTAGCACGCAGACTCAGGAAACCAGACAGCTTAGGGATGCGTATGTGCATGTCTGAGGTCCCCGTGTGCGGCCTCGGTGCAGGCCACTGAACGCGTTTGTTCTTAGGGGACATCTCTCACTTCATAATGAAATGCCTCGGGGTAGGGACTGGCTTCTGTTCTGTGCGCTGAACAGCCAGAGTGAGCTGTCAACACTGCACTCAGAACTAGTAATAACAAGTTAGAGTTGGGAAACTGCACTTACACCGACTGAAGTTTTCAATTTATCTACAAACCAAGAGCATGGAGAAGAGCACAACCACCTACTCCCTACGCACCATCCTGTGCTCCATTTCAGTGGGACGGGCACCATGCAGGGGTGGGATGCAAAGCCCCGGCCTCCCTGCAGTGATGCTTCAAAGAAAAACACACAGTAAATCATCAGACAACTTTCTTGGACACAGCCCCTCCTCCATCAGTGCCTATTCTGAGCCCATCAAAGCCAAGATATAAAGAAAATCTCCTAAATCAGGCTGGATGTGTTGAGGAGGATGGTAGAGGACGCAGAGCTGGTACTCATCACACTGTGCAGAGGAGACACTCAGAACCTGCTAGCTCTGACACAAGATGTATCACTTCAGGAGGGTTTTTTTAGTCATGTTTCAGAACATAAATCAGCCTCTTAAATTATGTCTGAGGTGCTAAAGCTTTCACTGTACCTCACTCCTCACTAAATGAAAGGTGCTGTCAGGTACATACACCACTGAGAACCTGGAGAAACCAAGTAATAAACACATTAAGTAAGCCCATTTTGCTAAAATCCCCTCCTTAAAACAGAAACTGACATTACAGACTCGAATTTCTCAGCACCTAGAAATGAGATGCATCCCCAATGCTGACACAAGCAGCTCAG